ATGACCGCATCATTTATTTGGATGACAAGTATCAGGTCGATCCAAGGGCCCTTGAAAGGGCAGAACAAGCTCGGGCAGATTTGGAGGTTACAAAGGAACAGTTTAGAGAAGAACTGGAAGCATTTGGTCCCAAGGGACCCAGTTGGGACTATGTCGCCTTCTATGAAGAGCTGTGCAAAAGGTTCCTCAAAGGAAGAATAGAAGAACAATATGGAACTAACTTATTGGCCAGCTCAGAGTCCTTGACCTTTTTATCCTGGAACTATGGCAACATGGTTCGTGGTCAGAAATACACCACGCCAAAGTTTCTCCAAGGACTTGATCGTGCAATGAAGCCACGCAAGCAGAGTGACATGTCACTTCAATATGAGCAATTTGAAAACAACCTTTTCTTCAACATGCTCTTCTTCTTACGTGCACATGTCGTGATTCTCCAGGAAGCTCATCTCCTTGTTCCTGCCAAGGATTTTATTGAGCAAAAGAATTGGACAGTTTGTTTCAATGATTGGGAGAATCTTGCAGTGATGGCTAGATTGGCACCAGGTGGATATGTCAAGATCATTGCTGGACATGACCAAGACCTTGGTCACTGTCAACAGCGTGATGTAACTTGGGCTATCTACGAGATTTGTTTTGGAGAAACAAGGCCTCGTCAAGATTTCAAGGATGCAGACTTTGAATTTGAGGACTATGGTCCTGAGGACCAGCGTGTTCCACTTACTCGAGCAAACATGCATACCATCAGAGTCTGTAATTATCATGTTGATACACACCGTGCTGTGGATGCCCACCTATTGACAGGAGAACAGACAGCATTGATGCTTTATGAATGTTTTGTATATGAGGTGGACATCATTTCTGGTGATGCAAATAGTTTGGCCTACAGAATGTCTGGGTACAAAAGGCAGCCAATGGCTAACTATTATTACAGCACCATGCAGCACTGGATCCGCAGGTTTTCAGAAGCCCGTGTAAGAGCAGATCCTGGTATCAAAGCACCTATTCCCAGAACGTTTTACAGTTCATCTTCACGTGTCCTCAAGCAGTGTGAAGTTTACTTTGAGAAACTCTGGAAGGAATATTCTACAGAAGAAAAAGAAGTGTACCAGGGATCAAAGCTTGGCGATACATGTTTGTCTACCATTGTTGAATGGGGTCATTCAATGAGTGAAGAGGAATATACAAATTCCACAGTGAGCACGAAGGAGTTCGTCTGTAATTTTTCAGAGAACTTTGCTATGATTGACACGGAGGTTATGTGCTCAAGACCCACTGACGATGACAGTCATGGTCCAATGTTTATTTCACTCAGACCAGCTTCCTTTTCATCTGGAGACAGAAGGCTCTATCGCTTGGGCGAGACTCTTCGAGAGGCTAACTTGCGGAGGAAGGAGAGACAGAAAGCGAATAAAAGAAAAGGAAGGCCGCCAACTTCTGATCAAGCAGCTCCATCGACTGCAGCGGCAGAAATTCAGAGCAGAGGCTAAATTTTAAATCATGGCTGGGAAGTGAAGATACTTCTGGTTACAGTTGATACTTTGCTTCCAGGCTTGACTTTAAGTTGCCAGACTGAAGTTTTAATGGACTCTGGTTTGCAACAAGGAGAAACTTTTTATCAAAGAAGATACTCCTGCATTCCAGGTTTATAAGCTTTAGCATGCAGATAAATACAGTTTTACTGAACGAATATTATCTGCAGGTAGGTATGGACAGTTTAACAGAACTGATGATATCTACCACAGCTGCTCTTTTGAAATGACCTCTAATGGACAACCATTCATGGTTGATGATTAAGTCTTTTCATGAAGTTGCAATTGTAGTGCAAGATTTTTGTACATACATTTGCCGGTATCTCCTTCCTTTTTGTTTTTGTCTGATTTTTGATGTCAATGTGAGAGAGTCCTTTTGATGCATTCCTGTGTATGGAAGCGGCCGAGACCACTTTTCGAGAAGACAATTCCTCGGACCGAATGCACGCTCCTTGCATTTTGCAAGGCATCGTAATTCATTGCATTTTGTGCGGTCTTGAAATTTTAGTTCTTTCGTTACGCGAGTGTCGTTTACTGCTTTTATAGGTCTCTGTGTAAAAGAAGCCGCTTTCCCCTTTTTCTTTCTTTAGCTCTGGCTATTTAAGGGCTATTGAGCGCCGGTACACGGTATCTTCGCCGGTGAACGATACAGTCTTCAGCCGAGATACATTGTCTTTGACCTTGTATTTGAGGTGAGTAAGCTATCGCTCCCTCACTGTATCTAGTATACCTTGAGATTACCTTTTCTATAGTGTGCAAAACACTGGAATTGGTAAGTACAGGGCACCGTAGTTTCCTTTTTAAGCTTACTAGAGCTTGCTGGACTGTTTTAGCCTTGCGGTAGAAAAATAGTGTGCGACATACGCAATAGGCTGGAGTGGACATGAATTTTGTGCCTGCTGAAATGTAGAGGCCTACTTGTACAGGTTCCACTCCAGTGGCCTATCTAGTGTGTCCATGCTTGACTGCCATAAGGCTCAAGAGGATAAGACTCTGCGTATAAAAGACACTAGCGGTCTGCACCTCAACCGTGTACGCCCTAGTCACTCTTTCACCCCCCACCCCTTCGAGACAGACAGTCACCATGGGGCCTGAAGCACCTGACTCGCAAGCAACACATGCAGGTCAGCGTTGGCACCGGCTTGCTGGAAGTGGCCATGGAGCTTCTTTTGTTGGTGATGGCGCATGGTGGGTGCGGCTTCATTGAACATCCACAGACTGCTACCTGGATGTATGGGACGCCATGCCCATCCATCTGGCGTCTCCAGGAGATGCAAGAAATTGCAGCTGCTGATGCGGTATCTGTGGTTTCCTTTGACCAGTGTGTCTTCGGTGCGGCGGGCATTAAGCCGACTACGTTGCTACTGGTCCGACTAGAAGACTTTCGTGAGATGGCGTTACAAGCAGGACTGAGAGGCAGATGCCCACACGGGCCGGGCGCGCATGTAGGCCTGGCAGGAAAGTGTAAGGCTAAGATCTACCCTGTCGCGTTAAACGCGGCATTAGCCGAAGCCTTTTCATGGTTTTGTGCATAGACTCAGCCCGAGCAACCTCACGTAAGGGTTTACCTACAGAGCTCGTCCAGTTGCATGATGTGACTGATGTTGAAGAGCCCTCTCATGTCCAACCGGACTACCATGGCTGAGAGGTTGTGGGTGTGCATGCTTTACCAAGAGTCTCACTAGAGCTCAGTATTGGCGAAAGGAAAGGAACCCCAGCGTGTCGGCCAAGCGTCGCCCAGTAACGGCTTGGCGGCGTGTCAGCGTGGCTCCGTGCCGTTGGGGAAGGGGATGGAAACATGCGTGTGTGACTTGCGGCATGTCGCTGGTGAGCGTGATGATTGGTGGCGGACATCACCTTCACCATCATTGTCACCATCATTGTCATCATGTATTGAAACAGCACTCAGTGAAGGTGGAGCTGCGTCAATCAGAGTTTGCAGATATCTAGGATTAATTTCTCTTACGTTTTGGCATCTTTCAATAGCCGTCAAACCTGTCGTACTCCTACTGTGCTTTCGGGCCACACTGTCGTTTAATGAGCGCCATCATGATGTGCCTTGGTCCAACCCCACTGTTGGCAGAACCTAGCAACACTTGTGATCCAAGTACCAGGCACTTTGATTGTTGCCTAGTGGATCAGCGCGTCTCACAATACCAAAGTGTTGCGTACTACACCCACTTACCCACATGCCAATCAACAATTGTGTTTTTCCACTTGGCATTTCTGTGATGGGTGTAGGTACCAATGCTTGAGTGCCACCATGATGGTAAGCTTTGGTGCTTATGAGTTGCAAATCGGTCATAACCAACCCCCTGAGTCGTGCTTCTGAAGACGCCCATGGTAAGCTCACATTGGCTGGCAACCTTTCCCCACAAAAACAATAATCAGAATAAAAAAACACTGTTGTAACAAGATATATATATATATATATGTGATTATATGATGGTCATTAGATGCCAATGCCCCACATGCCACGCCCCGGTACCCCTGACGTACCCCAGCGTTCAAGCACGTTTCATCCAGAAAAGAAAACGGGCGATACGGAGCCCAACTCACTGGACCCACGCCGCAGGCTGTTGGTGCCATGTCACGCAGCGAAAGGGTAGTGCAGCAGAAAACGGTGGGGCGGGCGCCGGGTGGCGGGGGAGAAGTGGCGGAGCCTGGTTGAGAATCGAACTGCAGAGTCTACCAGGGCGGGTCCCGAGTTCCACTCACCATGGTTTCGGGTGGGTCCAGGTGTTGGCTCAACTCCAGGTCAGCTTACTTGCCCAATCAGAGGTGGATGATTCCTTTGGAAGACCCCAAAGCTTTGGATCTGACCACTGGATGAATCTACTGATGCCCCGATGGGCCGATGGGGATGTCCATACAAGCTTTTGGGATGCAGTTCTTCTTTTCCGCAAAGAAAATGGGCAGGTTGCGGAAGAACAATGTTCAAGAGAGTTTCGTCAGTGACTCGCACAAGTAAAGGCTGAGGTTCACAATTAGTTCGGTGTTTGAAACAGACCCATTTTGCACTTTGCAGTTGGTGCAGTCAACTTCGGTCCGCTCACTGGATGGGTCTAAAAGTTGAGTCACACAGTTGGGAACCGGTACAAAGGCGAGTTGGAAGCGTTCGACAATCCTTCGCAACGTTTAGCTCCAAAGACCATGGAGCTTGGCTCTTCGCTGGGCTTATCACGCATCACCAGGCTCACCGTCCACCACGTCGAACTCAAAGCCCCTGCAATCGCCATTCCATTCCTGATTCCTGGCCACCAGGGGTTCCCCCCTGGTCAGACCTGGATGGATGGTGTTTTTGATTGGTGACCTGGTCACATTTCTTCTTTCGCCAAGAAAAGAGATCAATCAAGAAGAGTAATCGCGTCCTTGTTCCGTTCGTAGCTTCTTGTTCCTAGTAGTGCGGCCAGGAGCCCCTAGTAGCGATGCCAGGAGCCCCTCTAGTAGCTTCTTGTTCCTAATAAGAACACCATCCAAAGAGTGTCTTCTTTGGACCTTCATCCACTGGCCCCGCTCACATGGACGGCCCGACCTGCCGCATTTGCTTCGGCGAGGACCGCAACCGTTTGCTCCGGCGGTCGTGCGGCGGTGGGTCGTTTGCGCGACACGCGAGATCCAATGGAAGGATGTTTTCAAATGTCTTCATAGGTTCGTCCTGATGGTTGAAACATAGTATATCAGTAAATGGCTCTGGCTGTTGTTTTCAGGTGGGTTGAAAGCACCAGCCAGGAAGGAAGATCACCTTTGTGTTCGGGATTAAACACGGACGATAGCCATGGACCGTCAGGATTGGACATCACGGCGATGTCGTTTTGGCCTTCGAAGTTGGGACCCCTTCCGCATACATACATCAAACAGGTGTCAAAGGAAGCCCAATCCACATGCTTCATGCCAGCAGGTGTCCACTGTGTTTACTCCATCAAATGGATAATTAACTTCTTTTCTACTGCTCAACCCAACCATTGCTGCACGACATTGGACCAACACACTGAGACTATCTCACGCTACGCAAAACATACGCGGTGTCCCATTTTTCACCCTCCAAGGACCTCGTCGACAGCCCACGCAGTATCCTTTGTGTCAAGTCATTGGAGTCCCATACGGTAGCTTTTGGTGTAAGGTCTATGTCCACATCGAGCTACGGCACCAGGAACCCACACCACACCCCACTCGAGCTATTCACCGAACCAACCACGGCCTGGGTGGATCCGTCCGAAGCATCAACCCGTCGGAACGGGTGGACCCGTCGGAACGGGTGGACGGTTCTGAGTTCGGATTGAGAGACCATTCTTCACGCAGCCAGGAAAGACCGAAGGGGTGGTTTTCCCAAGGCTGGAGATACACTTTCCTTCCAGCCAGGACTCCTTTTCCCCTCCTTTCCCTCCCTCTACTCAGCGCACACCACCAGCACAACCCAAACATGTGATTCCACGGAGATCGCTTCTCCCACCTTCTCCGAGGAGCAACCGGGCGATAAGAACTTGGCGTTGATCTCGCCCTGCCACTGCGAGGTGCCCGACTCCCGGTCGCCACCGAGATGAAGCTAGTAGCGAACATTGCTCCTAGTAGTATGGCCAGGAGCCCCGTTCGTAGCGTCCTTGCTCCGTTCATAGCGATGCCCTTTGTTACTAGTAGCTTCTCTGGCTTGAGCCAAGAAGACCAGATGGTCCGCAGGGGGGCAAGTCCTCTTGTTTTCAGGTCCATGATGGTCCGTGTTGTGGTTCAACGCATGTGTTTTCGACGGGGGAACACGCACGAACGAGTGTAGTTGGTGCTCCAGTCCTTCAGTCCTACAATCAACGTGAGAAGAGGATTCAATAGATCCCGGGGGTTGGTGTGGACTGTTTTCTAGTAAAAGAAAAGCGTCCAACAACAGAATGCCCATCCACATCCACTCCACCCTTGCAGCGCGTCTTTCTGAGACCGCTGCATGTCTCTTCCGGTTTGGGTGGGAGACCGGTGAGGACCCTTCCGGTGGGAGTCGAGGACGTTTGCTTGGTGGACCAGTTCCGAAGGAAGGAAGCACGCGACGTCGGAGTCCAGATGATTCTGGTCTTCTTGAAGGTTTTTAGCCAGGTTCCAGGCTCAGATGATTCTGGTGAAACCGCAGGTGGCTTCGAGATCGCCGAATCCAAGTCATCCGGGCTGTGTAGGGAGTCATTTGACCCAAAACGAGAAGAAATCTCCAGAAAGAAGACGTAGTCAAAAGGATAAAAAGAATTAAAGGGCATTACTACTAGTAGCAAGAAGCTACCAGTAGCTAAGGGCATTAGTAGTAAGAATTTCTAGTAGTAGCAAGAAAAATCGACCCCCAACACGACCCTCGAGACCTGGTGAAAAAGACCACCAAGCGCTGCCCCGACCATGCGACCCAAAGAGACAGGTCCGTGACCGGTCCAACCCAAAGAGAAGGGTTCTTGGTTGCTCTTGTTCCAAGGCGGAAGGCCAAGTCAGGGTTGTTTCCTTCGGAATCTACTTTCCGCCTTTCTATGATGTGGAGCCCGAAGTCGTCATTGCGACGAGATTTGTGGTCCTCTACGTCGTCTACCACAGGTCCGTCATGACGTGTGCAGGTTGCTACACAACCCGCTGCGACAGTGACGGAGGGTGACAGAAGCGGAAGGACGTGGTGCGCATCAAAGTGTCACATCGGTCTGGCGAAGGGGTGGGCGCCGCACGCTATAGGCATTGGATTTGGGGCGTTCAAGGCTCACAACACCTAAAACTGGAAAACTGAATGGCAGCTGTCACTTGGCCCTTGCCCACTTGGCGTCGAGCAGCTGATTGACCCGACCATGGAGCGGCACGCTTTCCCCGGCGTTAGAACACGAGTTGAGCATGCCACAGCTTCCGTTGCTTCCCTGCCACACTTTCAGAGCAAGTCGCTAAGCAGACTTGCTTGGGACAAAGGACCGCTTGCGAGATGTAACTTGCCAACGTGGCCAGCATGGGCTGGCGAGGTGGTTGACAAAGATGACAGATCCCATGCGCGCCAGGGCTCGCAGAAGTTCATTCATGTCGCATGCTTGCGCAAGTGGCAACGCACTGTGCATCTTGGCATGGGACGACGAGCGCGCGGTTGTCTGACCTCGGCCAGCACCACAGGCAAAAGGCCTGGACAATTGCCACGCCTAACATGAAATGATGTTTTTCAAAAGAAGCTACACAGGAATGGTCATGCATGTCATGCATGCAAAGGAGGGGCCACGGCCATCATACCGACATGGGCAAAGATTTGGATGATTTGGTGAGTATGGGTCCCATGTCGCATTTCCACAAATTTCTGAGGTTTCCTTGCAGTGGTAAGCCTTGATTTTTTCCGTTTGTTCACAAAATGGGTCCAACGTCAGGATTGCCAACCTGGGATGCAGATTCTCCCGACGTAATTTTTGCCCCACCCTCTTTGCAGACGGTTCAGCTGAAAGAAGGTCGCCTTGCACGGCCTTCTTGATGTATATGGTTCCCGAAGCAATGGAAGAGGGTGCGGTCTGTTGGGAAGTTTGGAGGCCCATGGTGCGACGAAAGAACCGGTCGGAGTGAAAAGAGCAAAAGCCATGGACCGGTCCGAGGCAGCTGGGCGGTTCCAACCATCCGGACACTTGGAACGGACAGGGAAGAGAGGTGCGAAACGGGGAAAGGGGAAAGGGGAAGGAGTGGCGACCCTGCTCTGTGGTTTGGGTGTTTGGTGATGGGTACTTGAGTTGTCATGTTTAGAAAGGTGTGTTGTTTTTACTCTTGTGAGTAACAAGGGCATTGCTACTACTTTAACAAAGAGCAGTTCTACTAGTAGCAGGAACGCTACTAGTAGTTCCTGGCCTTACTACTGGTAGCAAATAGCCTACTAGTTTGGTGTTTCGATCATTTTGAGCGTTTGCTGATTTCTCGGGTCGTTGAGTCACTGCGCAAGACGTCTCTGTCCGGGGGGGCCGAAAGACGGCCATCGAAGTGTGTTTTGGGTTTTAAGAGCTGGGTGTTTGCGGTCCATCTTAGCTCTTTTCATGCTCGACAACACTGAGCAATGTCACTGGGAACTGTCAATCATTTTGATGGACAAAGCTGTACAGGGACAGATGCACGACAGGTTCCGGATCTGCTCTAAATGCTGATCCAAACGAATCAAACTACTAATGTCTAAACAGCAGAAGTTTGCACACGGACTTCCCGGATCGGATCCCAAGATGTCAAACAGATCACGAAAATGGAACCATCGATTCTTTTGGATCAAAAACGAGACCTCGAACCAGGAGCAAGGAGGACGCGAACCGAACGGGGCGAAACTGGCATTGCTACGAACAGAGCGATCGGACGCTACGAACGGAACCAGGACGCTACGTTCGGGGCTCCTGGCCTTACTACTAGGAGCAAGAAGCCACTAGGGGCTCCTGGCCTCGCTACTAGGAGCAAGGATGCGAACCGAACGGAGGGAAGCGTTCCCAGAAAAAAGGACCTCCCCAACACTCGCCGACGGTCGCCCGAGGATGAGCGCGACACCGAGGCGCGGAAGAGGTAGTCGGGTCCAGGTCCGAAGGACGGCTTTCGGTGCCCCGGGTGTTTTGGATGCTTCGATGTGAAGTTCGATCACTCAAATCGAAGGATGTAGAACATCACAGGAGATTCGAACTCCTTCCCCAAAACCCAAGGCTTCACTCACATGAATCCAGAGAAGTCAGCTTTTGCCAACGCATATTCGGAAGGAGCGGGTTTCGTGAGCCATAGAGAATCCCATGTCCTTCCGATGACTGTATGTGACTGTTCGTTTGGAGAGGTTCTCGATTGATTCCAAAGGACTATAGCAAGCGCCTGGATTGCTGGATTGATAAAGGACTCTCTTTTTTGGGGGGGGGCGCTTGCATGTTCCATCCGAACTTCTAGGCCTTTACGGATCTTGTTCCCAAAGCCCACCATCTTAACCCTATATGATATATGTGACGGGGATATGTGACCCAAGCTTTAAGCCTTGTATCGAAATGTCATTGGAAGTAACAAAAGTATCGAACAGTATGAACTTTTGTTACTTGAAACCAAAAAACGTTCTCTTTTGTTATCACAGTAAACCAAAAGTTTACATGTGCTATCCAAAACCCAAACTTCGCATGGTCAAACCCAGCGTGCGAAGCATCGCACGGCTGAGCACCGCCTCGCTCTTCGGCGCCAGGACCGGCACTGTGTGTGTAACGTGTGCAAGGGGACCTTCGATGTGCCACCACAGGCGGGGAGTCAACAAAGTCTGGACAGAGCCCCAGAACCAAGGTGCCCACCTGGCTCAGTCCACACTTCAGACCACCTAGAGTACCCACACCAAGAGTACCCACCTGGGTCCACCTGGCCAGCCCAGAACAGGTGCCAGCCCTGTGTGGGTCTTCACTCGTCGGAGCCGTCGCGACCGAGGACATCGGCGACCGGACTGGTTTTCATTGCCCAGTAGCGTTGGACCTTTCTTCACATCAGTCCGAGCATAGGAAGAGCTTTTCAAGGAACCAGAACGGGCGTAAACAAGAGGTTTGTGTGTTTTCCTCCCACGGTTCCTACGCCCTTTTTGGGGCACCAACTCAACTCCTAGAGCTATGCGCATGGATGTTCATGATTATTTGTTTCGGTTTTCAGACAGAGGCTTTTCAGCTGGTGCTCTTGCCTGGGAGGAAACGTCATCGGTCCGATCCATTGAGGTCCGAAAACGATCTCCCATCGATTTGTCTCAGGTCTCAGCATCCAAGGTTGGTTGAATTTGGAAGACTGGGGAGGCGAAAGAGCTTGATAGCCAACAGAGACTCCTTTTTTGCGACATTTACTTAGATAGTTAAGGAGATTCATTCAAAATCATCACACTCTTCCTCCACTTCTTCAACTTTTGTCACTCCCAAAACGAAAGAAGCAGCCGAGACTCCTTTTGCCACCTCCACAGGACACGATCCTTTTTTCTTGCGCCTCCTTCTCCGACGTGTTTCGCTCGGTGACCTCGCTGCCGACAGGATCGCGCGGAGATGATGTCCGACCTCGCCGGCGTGCCGAGCTCGGCCTGTTGGGCTCAGGTGGAGCGCGGAGGCGTGTTGAGCTCCGTTGGTTCGTGTTGAGCTCTTTTTGGTTCGTAGCCTACCCAGGGTCGTGGACAGTAGATGATCACCCCACTTCTACTATCAGCTGGTTTTTGTTGCACTTTCCCAGACCTTTTCAACCTGAAAGTCTTCTGTCATGCAGTTGGGATCAGTTACGAGTGACACGAGCCAAAACCATCCCAAAAACCACTCGTCCAACGTCCATCCACTCCTGGATCCCCAGGTGACGCCCGGCCGCGTGGCCCCCGCCATGCTCTTGGTCTCCAAGCGCTGCTCCGAGTCCTCGGTCCGGGCGGCCGGAGCGGTGAAAGGGTGCCGTGGTTTGGGAGGTGGAGAACCTGGGGTTCTCCGGCTTGATGGGGGTGGGGTTTCAAAGCGTCATCCCTTATGAAACACAACTCGAAAGTGGATGAAATAGATGTTGTTTAAAAGCCCACAAGAATATTGAAAGACATTGGCATTGTATGACCTGGTGGCAACCAAACCAGGGGGGGTGCTATTCAGTTCTGGGATTTGACGGAGGAAGTCGAGCCCTTCTTTTCTTGAGTTCAGTTGGAGCCTCTATAGCTGCCTTTGGCCGAGAAGACCGCAGTACAAGTCAGGTCCTGGTTGAAGGGATCATATAGAATATAGAAGCAATCTTTGTCTTGAGAAGGGCAAATGATGTCTTTCCTAGGGGGTTCAAGACCCACGTCGCTGGGACATTTATTTCCCGTTCCAACGCGAAGTGATTCGGAAGGAGATGCACACGTTTTCCTCATGTACTCGGAAGAGATTCAGGACTGAGCGACTACCTCTTGTAGTCTAAAAGCTAAGCTTTTTCCCCACATCCCGCAAGACATCTTTGAAGTCCCTTCCTACCTCTTTTCCTTTGGTGCAAGCCAAAGACTTTGATAAAGTCTGCAACCACCATACAGATCAGCGACCGGACGGACCCGAGCCCTCCCTGACCAGGTCGACCCGGACGGACCCGAGGCCTCGGGCATCGACAACTTGGCGATCCGCGCCTTCATCGAGGCCAAAGCGGCGCCACTGGGGCCGAAGCGGAAGGACGAGGGCGGAGGGCGGCGGCAACGACCCCCAGCAGGGGTGGTGGTGTGTGGTGTTTTTCCAGGGTGGCGTGAGGGGAAGGGGATGTGGTTTCTGGGGGGGTGGGGGATGTGGGCAGATTGGTGCCACTAGCAAAAGATTGGAAGATAGTGTTGCAGGGGCAGTTTCGGGGCTCCGAAGAAAGTTCAGAGACCACGACCTAGTACCCAAGCTTCGGAAGCATGTTGTAGAGAATCTCTGGAGGTTGGTTGGTTGAAATAATTCTCAAAACATGGAAATGGATGTCCTGACCCACAGAGAGACAATGTTCTGTTTTCTGCATTCCTTGAGAGGGGCACGGATGTAAATTGAAAAGTATGATTTATCAGGAACACATGTTTATTTACAGAATAGCTTTCAGTGATTATCAACATCTCCGCTTGATCGAGGATACTAGCAAAGGCTGTGGCACCGGTTTGACTAGTCGCAATGGCAGAGGTTGTCTGGTGTAATGATGATGTCTACTTGAGAGCTTGGTTCTTTTGGCCCTTCGGTACCAGTAGCTCAGTGCTATACATTGGAAACAACGCCACGGGATTGGAGTCCAGTTGCCAGTCCTGTTTGTCCAGTGGAGTCTCGCGGCTGTTGGTCATGTGCCCTTGAAACACTCAGAGTGTTTCTTTGTGATAGGCAAAGTCAAAGCGTGGAACACCAGAAGGTGCATAAAGGAAACACGTTTTCTGCACAAATGTCGAAGGACGTTGCTTTTCTGAAAGGCCAACATTGAGGGATCGTACAGCACTAGCCAAAAGCATCTTTAGGATGTTCAAGGAAAGCCACGAGTAATGGCTCAAAAGCCAACGCGCCGCTCGACATCCTGCCAGTAGACGTTTGAACATCTTTGGAAGGTTCACTTTTTCAGTTTAGGGCCTACTTCCAAGTCGGTGTTTTTTTTTCAAGTACAGATGATATGACAGTAGTTGCAGTGTTCATGGTCACGTCTCCTCAGAATCCCACGAAACAACTACCGCGAAGCCTGGACTCAGTGAAAGAAATAGAAATAGGATGCGTTTGTGCCTTGTTGTGTTTTTGAATCTCTCTTTTGGATGGTTAGTTCTTCCATGTTTCAATTATGGGCTCACCCCCTGGTACACCACCAGCTCATGCTGAGTTGCCTTGCCTCGCTGTTCGCCACTCCCAAGGCACTTCCGTCGGGCTGCCACGACCTTAGGGACTCCCACGGTCGGCGGTGGCTCGGGCGAAACCGGGTGAGTCGGGTGATGTCTCTTCCGACCACCTGGGTGCCGCTGCGCCGCTGCGCGCATCGCCCAGCGGGCATCGGAGCCCCACCGAAGTGCACCAACGACTGGGATCTTTTTTCGAGGGGAGGCGGTTGGAATAGTCCGACTGGGTCTCACGGTGAGAAGCGGCCAGTGTTCACCTACTATGCTTGATTGATGTACTGAATCACAGTTCCTGAGAAGGCTGAGCAGTTGTTTCACCTTCACCCCGGCCATGTTTAGAATGGATGGACTTGGACGTTCCATGCTGATGATGTCACTGCAAAGATGGAAGAAAACTCTGTAATTGGCAGCCTCTGTGGTTTTTAATCTCCTAACTCCATCAAGGGAGAGATCCGCAGTCTCTCCGAATCTTCCCAACAAATCTGCGTAATCGATCCCAACAAATTGCTTGGTGGCGAGGTCTTAGGGGAGTTGGAACCTCCAACCGGAAGACTCGCACAACTGACCTTGGAAAGCTGGGAAGATCACAGATGGCTGTTCTGGGTTTGAGGCTGACTGGATGGCCCAGTGCACAAAAGCAGTCCAAGTAGTTGGGCAAGAGATGTCAGAACCAGCCTTCCGCGGTGCGTGGTACACTTCGCACCACGTGCCAAAGCCGGGACCCACATTTTTTTGCTTGGAGGGCGCCTGCTAGTAGGTTGGAGACCATCGCTAGTAGGTTGGAGGCCAAGGCCAGTAGGGCGAGGCCATCGCTTGTAGGTTGGAGGTCGTCGCTATTAGAAACAAAAAGGAAGAAGTTCGGTTCCGTTCGTTCATGACTCAAGAAGACCCTCCTCGGCCCCCGACCTGCGAGGTCTACATGCTCACGGAGATCTCCCCCGGCGCCAGCGATGGCAGCACGGGTGCTCGGTGCGAACGATGCGGAAAATGAAAACCGCAGCAAGGGAGCTGCTTTTTCTGCAGATCCAAAATGAGCATCTCTCAATGGAATCAGAATCAACCAATAGAACCGGCACTGGCAAGTTTGGGATAGTTGGTTCCTTGAGCAGAGGGTGGAGTGACGCCACCCCCTTTTCATCCATTTCACTAGCCTTGTTTGTGGGATTCCCAAGGGGTGTTTCCTGACAAGATGGGCTTTCGAAGAATGAATCTACGCAGTTGGGCCTGTTCGCAGGTTAGACACACATGGATGCCACCTTTGTAGCCATTTGGGGCTGAGAGGGGTGGGGCTTTAGCGCAGCTGAAGCAGTCGAAGGCTGGACTGGGGGCCGAACTTTCCGGGACAAGTGGCTGCAAGAGGGTCGTTCCTGCTTCGAATCAGGAACTTTGGCCCTCTACTACGTACAGGTCAAGCTATCCAAGTAACGCTTGCTGTTTGATTATCTTTTGTTGGAGAAAATTCCCAACCCATTTGCTCCATCCAGTTCATCCATTCATGAAGGTGGCACCACGACCCTAAGTAGAGGAGCCCGAGACGTTCGCTCGGCCACCCTGCAAGGCTTGGTGCCCGCGACATGTCCTTTGCGCAGGGCTTGGCCCGCAATGCGGACACCGCTCGTGCTCGGAAGGAGGAAGAGGAGCGTCAGAAGCGGGCGAAAGAAATTCAGAAGATGCGAAAGTTTGCTCCTTGCTCGGACTTTGACTTGGGGACTCTGGGAAAGGACCAAGTGTTTTCTCAGCGAGAGGCAGATTGCTGTATCAAGACAGGGTGCTGATTATAGGCTAGTGAGCTCTTGGAAAGATTTGGGGAGCACTGCCAAGAATTATACAAGAAGAGGACAAGGCCCAGCCACAGAGCCTGGACACAGAACAGAGCCCAGCCACAGAGGACAAGAGGACAAGGCCTGGACACAGAGCCCAGCCACAGAGTTCAGGGGCGCGGTCAGTGAGTGTGGCCAGCTCTTTTTTTCTAAGATGGAACCCCAACAGTAAACTGCTTGGTGAAAAACGTTCTTGCCAAGGTTGCCACTGAAGTGGAGAAGTTCAAGACGAAGTGCACAAGCGCTAGCCAACAGGGCGAGTATACGTGGAACAACTATTCAGATGCGGAACTGCCGTGCGGTGGCAACTACCAGGAGTACGAGTCAGAGTTCAAAAGGCACATGGACAGCCTTGGCTTCACAAGCTTCAGCGTGTCAGGAGTCTTAAGATATATTCACCTCAAGGCCTCTTGGGACAAAGTCGCCCGTGATGCTTCAGCTGAGCCACCGAAGAAGCGTTTGAAGGGTCACGTCAGGACCTGTGCGGTATGCGAAGAAAACAAACCTATGATCGTGTTGGCGCCCTGTGGACACGTGATCTGCCATGATTGCAAAGACAAGCAGAAGCAAAACGGTGACAAGTGTCCCTTCTGCCGGCAGAGCGTAGTATGTGTGACAGATGGCTTATTTTTCAACTGAGGGTGTCCTTGTGCGCACAAGGCAATTCAAAGGGGGGAAAGTCGGACAACCAAGCACCAACCATTCCAAGCAGTAGACAGAGCCACAGACACAAAATGCATGAACATATAATACTCACAGATACATATCCTTGTGTGGTTTATTTGTGGTTGTGCTTGTTGCCGCTGCAAAAGTCGATGGACCAGTGGCGGGGCTCGTTGCAGAGCGGGGGCCCCTCGACCAGGCTCGAGACCTCGGTGCATCGAGCAGAAAAACAGGGGTTGGGGGAGCTGACGTCAAGCGATTTGTCAGGGGCCCTTGAGGACAAGGAGACCGAGGGCAGTATATGGCACGTTGACAGTTGCATAGTTGAAGAAGGAGGGGGACACACCTTGCATAGTTTCTTCTAGGAGCTGAGCTGAACAAGCCGCTCAACGAAGCTGTGGAGCTGGAGCCCAGTGCCAGTGTTCCAAGTTTGCGGGGGGCTCTTGACAATGGAAGGTTTTCAGGCATAGAAATCCGCAACACCCCTATAGCAGTCCAATATATGGTTTGAACAGGAAACTGCTTCAAGTGAGCTAATCCCCACAGAACCGCTTTATCAAAATGGAATGATCTTCTTGCAACTTCGGAGTCCTCCACTCCAAAGGTTTTCGGTTTTCCTCCCTTCTCCACTCACCCATACACTTCTCAAACCTCACCAACTTCGCATAACTGACACACATCTTTTCCAAAGCCAAAATTCTACCACCTGACCTGCCCAGCCTCAAAGCCTTTAACCGCAACCCCTGCCCCGGTGCCGACTTGGGCTTGGTCTTCGCGGTGAGGCGACGTGGTCCTGGGCGTGAACTTGTGCCGCACCCTGGAGGCGCCCAACGTGGAAGGCCTCCACTGCGAGGCCCGGAGCGGCGCGCGGAGCGGAACCGCGGACGGGGTCGGTGAGGCCGGTCGAATGAGGTGAGTTCAATGAGGATGGATGGCCAATAGATAGGTCATGTTACCTTGACGGAGGAACCAAGAGGTTTTGAGTTAGTTCTGTCATTTGCTCATGTTGCCGCGGTGTCATTGCGGTTTTTGGTTGTAAGGTCATAAGGTTGTAGGTCCGCTCAAGGGTGTGCAGGAACTTTGTTCGGCTTGACATGACCCATCGAGAATCTGACAGCCACGAGAGTGTCAATCAAATTTCGATCGTGTGCAATCGTGTGCGTGGCTAACTTGCAAAAGCGTGTTTGGTGATTGACTTCTCACTGAACAGACAGGAGAATGGGTCATTCCTGAAATTTTCCAGGGGAACGCCGATCCGAATCAGTAAACCAGTGTTCTCAGGGTCTTTGGACAAACAGAAATTGCCACAGAAGTGCTCTCAGCGCTTCGAGGACGTCACAGGGGACATGCTGCAGCAGCTACGTCAAGAGGGCGTCGAGCCTTGGAAAGATTTGGAAAGACCAGCCGTTTGATGGATGGGCTGGGAAGTACTCATAGGGATACATCACAGTCAATGTCAACGTGGGAGTGTCATCTATTTGCAGGCATGTTCCAAGTTTAAGGTTTTGCATGCTTTGTTCTAGGGACTTGCCTTTTTCTTTTTGTCATTGGCACTCGGAATTGGGCCTGTAACGGATAGAAGCTTTCTCGTTGGCACCTAAATCGACAATTGTTTGAGAGGAGTAAGCAAAGAACCGCAACTTGTTTTCTGACGGTTTGCTCCACCTTTTTATGATAGAGGCCTTCGATGTCTTCCCCATGTGAGGAAGGGCCCAAGCTGCACAAGGTTAAGCTCTCGAGCAAATGTTTTGGGCTGAAACCGATGGACTTGAAACCGCTTGCAAGATTATCTCACCTGTGACCAGCATCCCCAGAGCCAACCCCAAGAAGTAGCTTGCCTGATCAATATGTGGTGAGACAAAAGGCCTACAGGTGACCCCGATGAATGAAACCCCACCGTATAGGCGTAGAGTTACCTTCATGAGCAAGACCTTGAAGAGCAGGGCAACATATACTCCCGAAATGCTTTCGTTTATCCAGAATGGATCTACTTCTTCTTTTAGATGCATCTCTTTGAAAGTAAAGCCATTGTTTCTCTCGTTCTTTTCCCGAAAAATGGCTCGTTCTTTTCCTGGTCTTCCACCAGACCAACGATCTCACCGACATCTCGCCTCAGGACGTGCTGTGGATGAACGGAGGCCCCGTGAAGCCCCGCCACGTCTGCGCCGTGACCGTGCTCCGCACGCAGCGCGCCGTTTCAGCGCTATCCACGTTGGAAGCCTCAGAGGACGGGGCGGAAGATGGGGAAGGTGGTGTTGGGTGGTGGTCTTTTTGGGGTGATGCAAAGCAAAGGCAAGGCAAGTTGGCAAGAGAGAGAGAGAGGCAGGCATGTGTGCTTGTGTGTGCTTTTTTGTTGGGAATATGATACTGAGATTGGAAAATTTGACTTGGAAACTTGGGCACACAAGCGGGAGTCAAAAACAACAGCATCATTCCTTCTGTTTTCATGCAAGTGAATCGGCGGCTCTTCAGAGACAGCACTGACCCAGGTCCAGTGGCTGCAGGGCGTTGATCAGAGGCGCGGAAAGCAGCCGTAGCGCTTCTCGTCGACGAGACGTGGAAGCCACTTCTTTAGACAGTGTCTTCAGGCAAGACAGGAAGAATAAAGACCACGCAACAGAATAAGAACCTGAGTTGAAAGCAAGGGAAAATAGAGAAATATCCTTCACGAATGTTCTCAAAGGACCTTCATGAGGGTGGATGGCAGCAGCTTTGACGCTAAAGATGTTTATGACATCATCCTTTTGCGCCACTCAGAAGAGGTTTCCAAGCGATTCTTATTGGAACTTTGCCAGGTGGTTGGGGACACTCCAACGGTAAAACTGAACGAACACACCAATTCACAAGCCTTTTCATGTTTCTCGCTCGTAAGACAGGTGTTCCTTTGCTCCTCGTTCGTCCGGACCACAACGGGTCTTTTTATCAGTGTTTGTCCACCAGTCTCCACCGGCGGACCCGCCCGTGTAGGAGACGACGATGGGCAAGTGGTCTACGGCACCTTGGCGTCGGTGTTGACCTTGGCCCAGGAGGCCAGCAGTGGTTTGGAAGGAAATAGGTCGACTTGAGGCGACTGATGGAGGGACTGACTGGTGGACATGCAATGAGAGAGTGGTGATGGATGGAAAGGTTTCGGTTTGGTCTGAACCTTGGTGTTTGGGTGTTTAACATCTGTTTCTCATCACTCAATATTGCAGTCAGATGCAGTCAGTGAAAGCAGTAGTGATGACAACGGCCTCAACAGATGGTTCGAGATCAGGATCCCAACCACCCAACTTGGAGTTTGCGCCAACTCTGTTGGTGACTTCTGTATTTCGTATCAACCATGATCCTGGCCATGATACGGGTCTCTAGCCGGGGGAAGACATGTCCGGATTGAAGAACTGCCATGCGGACAAGATATTCAAGTGTTGTGAATAGAATTGTCGCACAACCGGATGAGCAAGTTATTCATTTCAAGTTATTCGCTAATGACTCCTCAAGGTACTAATTGGCCCGGTTTGTGCAAACTGCGACAGGAGTCCGACGCCTTGAGCGAGGCAAGCGGTGTGTTTTGTTTGGGAGGTTCGGCAGAGAGCGCGTGAAATGGTGAGTGACGACTGCCTCGGGTGGGATAGTGCTTTGGGTTTTTTCCAACTTTGTTCAGTGATGGAGAGATCTTCTGGTTTTGACAATCCCAACCTTATCCAACCCTTTCACATACTGCTCAGGCATTCCCAGCGTTCCCTTTTCAATCTCTACAGTGTTGTTTCTTCATTGCGTTTTGCTTTGAATGGGAACTAAGAACGTATACTTGGATAACGCTAGCTCAAGCATACCTCCGAGAGGGCATCATGGGCTGCATTAAAGGCAAGTGCTCCTGCGGCTTTTCGGCCAAGTAGTGATATGTGTTGTGTCAAAACGAGTGCTATTATGGTGTCTTCATCATCGGAGGTTTTGGCAGTTGCTCATGTCACTAGATATTTGACTTCACGTGTCGTTATCGAAATCGGAAATTGGAGAATTGTAATGTCATTTCTTGAATTCGGATTCGAGATGCTGGGATTGGAAAGCTACCTGACCGACCTCTTGAATGGCTTCTGCAATGGTCCTGGACACACAGTAAAAGGCCGGAAGCCCTTCCACGATGACTTCCACAACTTGAGCCAGCCTGTTTGTGATTCCATGGACCTTCAGAATGATGTCACGAGTTGGGGCAAGTACGTGGTGGCACGTGGTCTCCAGATCAATGTCAAAGCCTGGTTCCTCTCGGTCCACATGTCGATTTTGTAGGTTGGGATTTGAAGTCCCTCAAGGAGCAGGATGAGCAGCATCCGGATGGAGCGCCTCGCAGAGCCTATCGGTTGCGCTCACCCCCGCGCAACCCTCTGCGGAGATCGTGCGTGTCGAGGGCGCGAAATGCAGGCGAGAGTGCGTTTTGGCCCGGTCCGGCGCATTTTGGCCCAGTCAGCGGCTGCCACAAAAGAGTCATCGTGACGTTAGTGTGTGTGTGTACTTCCTTCATGACAAACGATGTTCGCTTGGAATACACGAGTCGCTTGTCATGATCGTGACGTCGTTTGCTCCCAGGTCGCCCTTACGTCCATTTCGTGGAAACTTCAGTGTGACATGTACGTTCTTCAGTTCTATTCGAACCTCTTCAGCACTGTACTTGCACAACTAAGGTCGACGTTGCGCTGCCGTTGCGTCGACGCATCTACCTCTACACCCCCTCACCTCTGTAAATTTACATCTTCACACGCTCACATCCGCAGATCTACCTCTCCACCTCACCACACCCACACATCTGCACACCTATATCACATCTGTACATCCACACTGTCACTCCTTCACATTTCTTTCTTTCTACATATCTGTTCTCTCGCCTCTGTACATTTACATCTTCGCACGCTCACATCCACAGATCTACCTCTCCACCTCCATACATCTACACATCTATATCGCACCTGCACATCCACATTGTCACTCCTTCACGTCCACCCTCTCTTTCTATATATCTTTTCGACAGCGCTGGACAATCACATGTCTCGCTCTCGGGCCAACCGTCGTCTAGTTGTATTCCGCTACCAAGCAGCGCCGCAAGCAGGGTGGCTGCAGCCGACACAGGCGCCACCTGCTAACCAAGGAGCCTGTGAGCCAGGGTGGCGGAAACCGGCTTGCAAGTCACAAGCGTTTTCGCCGGCTACAGTGAGTCACTTTCAGGCGGAGGCAATGCTGCTCTTGCGGCGAATCTGCGTTCTGTATCTCGTGATGAGTCAAGCCTCAGTGTCATCTCAGATCGTTGAAGTGAAATTGCCTGAGGTGTTGACTCAACAAATGCCATTGACCGCAGTTTGGCATCATCCAGTTGGTCGCGTAGGAGAGCTGTGAAAGGACCTGGGGAGACTCCTTGGACCTCGTTCCTGGCAGCGCCCTTTGGAAGCAGTGCTTCCAGCCACGCCCTGTGGATCCAGAGTGCCCAAGATGGCCGGACACACTCGCAAGCATCCAGCGAGGACGAGTGGGGCTGGTGGAGACGATGGGCCTACGGCATCGCGCACTTCAATGATTCAATCACCTTGCGGTGATATGAACAGGTGCATTTATTGCAACGTATACCTCAAGACAGAGAACTCACTGGGATTCATGCAGATGGACCACTACTACTAATATTAATAATACTACCACCACCACCACCACCACTACTACCACTACCACTGCCACTGCCACTACCACTACCACTACCACTACCACTACTACTACTACTACTACTACCACCACTACCACCACTACCACTACTACTACTACCACCACTACTACCACTACTACCACGACTACCACGACTACCACGACTACCACTACTACCACTACTACTACTACTACTACTTCTACTACTACTACCACCTACTACTGCCACTACTACTACTACTACAACAACTACTGCTACTACCACTGCCACTACTACTACTCCTCCTACTGCTACTACTACCACCACTACCACTACGACTACTACCACTACGACTACGACTACTACTACTACTACTACTACTACTGCTCCTACTACCACTACTACTACTACTACCACAACTACTACTACTACTCCTACTCCTACTCCTACTCCTACTCCTATCCTACTACTACTACTACTACTATTACTTTTACTACTATTACTACTACTACTACTACTACTACTGCTACTACTACTACTACTACCACTACTCCTGCTACTAGTACTTCTACTCCTGCTCCTAGTCCTACTCCTCTCCTGATACTACTACCACTACTACTCCTACAAATACTACAACTATTACTACTACTACTACCACTACTACTACCACTACCACTACCACTACCACTACTACGACTACTACTACTACTACTACGACTACGACTACCACTACTACTACTACTACCACTACTACTACTACTACTACTCCTGCTACTACTACTATTATTACTACTACTGCTACTACTACTACCTACTACTACCTACTACTGCTCACTCACTTACTTCCTTCATTGCTTACTTACGTACTTACTTACTTACATAGTAACTACCCTACCCTACCTTACCTTACCTTGCCTTGCCTTACCTTACCTACGTAGTTACTTACTTACTACCACTACCACTACCACTACTACTACTACTACTAACTACCTACTACCTACTACCTACTACCTACTACCTACTACCCGACTACTACTACTACTACTGCTGCTGCTGCTGCTGCTGCTGCTACTACTACTACAGCGACGGCGCGACGGCGACGGCGACGACGACGACTACGAAGACTGTGCTGCAACTCTTTCCCTGTTGTTTTTAGTTAGTTAGTTTAGTCTAGTCTAGTCTAGTCTATTCCAGTCTAGTCTATTCGAGTCTAGTTTAGCTTAGTTTAGTTCAGCTTAGTTGGTTGAGTTAGTTTAGTTAGTTAGTTTGTTGGTTACTTAGTTAGTTTCAGCCTAATAGCTGTTTGGTGTCAGTTTAGTTAACTAATAGCTGTGTCAGTTTAGTTAGTTTAGTTAGTGAGGTAGTTAGTTAGTTAGTTAGTTCGTTAGTTAGTTAGTCAGTTAGTTAACTAGTTAACAGGTTAGTCTAGTTAGTTGGTTACTTAAATGGTTACTTAAAAAGTTCGCAGTGGTAGTGCTAGTGGTGGTGGTGGTGGTGGTAACAGTAGCATCAGTTGGTTAGTTAGTCAGTCAGTTAGTTAGTTAGTTACGTAGTTACCTAGTTAGTTAGTTTAGTTTAGTTTAGTTAGTTAGGTTTTGTTTAGTTTAGTTTAGTTAGTTAGTTGGTTACGTAGTTAGTTAGTCTATTTTTACTTGTTTATTTACTTCGTTTAGTTAGTTTGTTTGTTTGTTTAGTTAGCTAGCCAGCTAGTTAGTTAGTTACGTAGTTTAGTTAGTCGGTGAGTCAGTCAGTCAAGCAGTCAGTCAGTCAGTCAGTTAGTTAGTTAGCTCGTTAGCTAATTAGCTAGCTAGCTAGTTAGTCAGTTATTTAGTTAGTCAAGTTAGTTGGCTATTCAACTGGCTACTTAACAGGTTCGTAGTGGCAGTGGTAGTGGAGGTAGTATTAGTAGTAGTAGTCGTCGTCGTCGTGGTGGTGGTGGTGGGTGGTGGTAGCAGTGGGTGGTAGCATTGGGTGGTGGTGGTGGTGGTGGTGGCCGCGGTAGCGGTAGCGGTAGCTGTAGCAGTAGCAGTAGAAGTAGAAGTAGAAGCAGCGGCTCGTGCCTTGACCGTCCACAGACCGTTCCTGTCTGCACCGCAGACGGTGACGGTCCTCGCCTGGGCGGGCTATGCCCAATGGAGCCGTACGCAGCTCTTGGGCGAGGCCAGCAGCTCTGCCGGAGGGACATGGCGCCTGGCACTGTAGGGAGTTGCGATTTGAGCCGACAGCCAAACAGCCAATATTGGCAACAGAGACCCTTCACACAACAAAATGGTTTTTCGAGGCATGCATTTGTGTTTGGTTGGGACGTGGTAACCAGTGACGTGGCCGGTGTTTCCTTTTCAAAGGGTTCACCCAATCTGGTCAGAGTTCCTCTGCGGGTTTAAGTTGCCCACGAAGCGATCATTTTTTGGCTCGTGTCAACCAATTTGTTTTACAGGAAATCATCCTTCGAAATGTCCTGCACCACCTCGAAAATATATTTCCCAAACATATCCCCCACTACGTGCTCGGATGCCTTCAGAAATCACCCATGACAACCTGGAAAAGAAACGGCACGGGATCTCACCGAAAAGTGCGGCCACATCCCTCCATGAGAAAAGTGCGGCCACTGTGATCCACGTCTTTAACCCTGTGTATCGCAGCCGATCGGCGGTCGCAGATGGCCCGTGGCAGCTGGGGCTGGTGTGATGGCACGCTGGAGGACATCAAAGAGTCGGTGCCCGGGCAACGATGGAAATAGGAAGTCGACGTTCAGTAGTGTCCGGTGAACATTTCTGAGCTGAGATCGATTGTTTTTGTGAGACCTCCTCCCAAAGCTATTAACTATAATAGTTTCTTGAAGGGTATCCGAAACCAAAATTCATCTATTGGAGCGATTTGATTACAGTTTTCCTTGGCCTTATTGGGCATTGTTGGTCCTTGAAGGTAGTGGTGAGAGTATAGGACATGGAGGGATGAGCATCACCACATGCTTCCAGAGCACCTATGTTTCGCCAAAAGAGCACTAATGTTTGATGCACATGGTCGGGCAGAAGTTGGGTTGTCAGGTGGCACATCGCAATGACACAACAGACTTTGTTGGGAGCGTTGAGCCTTTTGGCACTTTGAAAGATTCCTTTTAGACGAAGAAAGCCAGTCTTCTTGGATGTTCCATCAGGCTGAGGTGTTGAACCTTTGACAGGGGGGGCGCACAGCGCCCAAACCGAAAGATGGGAAGCTTGCTAACAGCTACCAGGACTCTTTTCTCGGAGTCTATAGGGTGATGTTTGCAAAACAAGCTGGGATGATGGCTGTTCCGAGTTCGTGGTTGGAGTGCCTGGCGCAGGATCATAGGAAAGGGTAAAAGTCCAACGCTGCATGGCACTGATTCCACAAAAGTCATAAGCATGGACAACGCTGGTGAAGCCGGAATGATAGTACACTGTCCTTCACCAGGACGCGCTGAGGCATATGTATGTTTGTTTTCCTCTTCAACCAGGTACCACATCTGATTCTTGGGTGGATTTGCTTCACCAAAGTCTTCCAAATCTAGCTTGACCGATCAGTTCAACCACCTCACCCACTAAACCCACATCAACCAAGCAAAACCCACCTAATTATCTCCTGAGTGTTCGCTGCAACCGACCACCGCAGTCTCTCTGAGGCCTCCGGCACGGGCCACGGCCTCTGGGAGCACTTGCGGCACCACAGCGAGCGCCTCAGCTGGGCACCCAGCAATGTCCCTTGGAACGCACTGGACAGGAGCTACTAGAAGCTTCTTGCTCCGTTCGTAGCGATGCCCTTTGTTACTAGTAACTTCTTGTTACTAGTAGTAATGCCAGGAGCTACGTTCGTAGCGTCCTTGCTACTACCCTTGCAGGGGCGGATTGAGGTTCTCCTGCCTTGCCCTTCACATGTTGGGGTTTGATGACCTTTGTGTTTCGAGTCGGAATTTTCTGCGGTGGCTGAACCATGGTCGTTTGGGACAGAGGGGGATGGGAACTTGTACTAAGTCATAGGTTGGTTGGGCGAGCCTCCCCTCAAACATACACTACTCAAGACTCTTCTGGCAATGATCGGTAGCTTGTGGATACAGGGATGATAGATACAGAACGAAAATTGCCTAGCCAGCGCTCATTCATTGAACATATGTTGTTCTTTCTGGGGAGTCAGGAAGCTCATTCTTGCAGGTTCGACTGGCGACTGTGGGCTATGCATAAGGTAGACGCGATACCAACCAGTGGGCTTTACTTGGTTTTGTCCAAGGTTTTTGGGGAATTCCTTGCGTATCTATCCGCGTTTCTTGGGAAGGTTCGCCTCTCATGGGCTGCAGGCCTTCTCTTTTGCTGGGTACCCGAACCACGCCCAAAGCCACCCATGTACCCCGCCAGTTATGGCAGTTGGAAGCAAAAGCTTGACCCATGGAACCCTGAAAGGGCGTTTTGTCCAACTCCAACTGACATACATTTCGCTTGAATGACGACGCATGAGAGCGCTGATGATGTTCATGTGTAGCTAGTGCTCAATGGGGGCACCTCATCCTGATGAGGAAAGCAACGTCAAAGTTGTGTCAACCTCGCGAAGGACAGTTTGGAGTGAAATCACCTCATGAACGTGGATTTCCCCCCACCCCATCTTGCCACCTCCCTGAACCTTCGAACGGGGCCACGAATCGATCGGCGCCTCCGCTGAGGAGTTGTCCCGGGACTTCGAGCAGCGGTTCCCCCCGCAGCGCCAGGCGGAGGATGCGCAGGCGGCACAGTTGAAGGATTTGTCCATGGATAATGAGGTTGGTTTTTTGGGGGTGGTTTTGATGGATTTGTTAATGGACCCATTGGTTTTTGCTAAGAGAAAACTGTCATCGCCAGGACCCAGCTCTTTGACTCAAGAACCATTATAGGTGAGCATTCCCCTCATTGCAGCTCATGTATTCCTCAGTTCACTTGGTGGTAGGCACTGGCACTGACCCACGACCCCGCTGGACGCCCCTCCGTGCTGGAAGCCCCCCGGACTACCGTGACCACCTGCGCGTGCCTCGAGGGCGAAGTGGTCACTGCCCTGGTGCAGCAGTTCGAGACCATGAGGACCGTCGTCGGTCGCGGGGTACCGACCCGACAGGCCTGGACGGGCCTGGACGGGCCTGGACGGGCCGGACGGTGGACCGAATCGGATCGCGGATCGGTTGGGTGTGGGCACGTGGGTGGGACGTGGATCGGTCATGAACACCGAAACATCAAGTGTCCTTCATACATCGGGGATGTGACGCACGCGAAGCCCGCAGATGGTCGTTGGTGTTTGTAAGTGAGAAGCCACTCCAAGCACCTGGTGCGTTTCATATCCATTTTTGTGCGTCGTTTTGTGTGGAGGCCATCGCAAGTAGGTTGGAGGCCGTCGCTATTGGGTTCCTTTTGCTATTAGGTTGGAGGCCATCGAAGTCGTTTTGTGTGTAAAGAACCCGGAGAAGTCAATGACCCCATCGCTCGTAAGGTCCCTGGGGTGCCTGGTGTCCCGAGACCTGTCCCTGTAGCGCCCAGCTGCAGGAGAGACAGTGCCACCGACCGCGTGGCTCTTCTTGCGTGAGCTGGTTGGGCTGAAGGTCCTTGCATTGGATTTGTATGATTCAATGATCGAAAAAACAAGGGGAATCGGGATGAATGAAGCAGAAGAGACGGCTTCCGGTACCTTGATGTCAATGGTCAACATCCTGCAGGCCACTGGGAGTGAATAGGCAAGAGGGCTTCTTTCGGGGGTCGGTTCTTATCCTGGTGTTTTTTTACATGATGTTGGCATCCTCCGTGACACGGTTGGTTGATCACCAGTATTTGGGTGTTCTGCATTTAATCCATTAATTGAAGGCACCCCAAGCCCCAACACACAGGAACCTCAAACAGGCGGAACGGGGCGGATTGAGTCCCTAGAGAAGTATTTGTTTCACACGCAGTCGACGAAGTCGAACGGCACATGGTGCTCAGAATTAGAGCGGCCATGCGTCACCACTAGAAAGAAGTAAATGATGCCAAAAGCAGAGCCATTTTCATTCAGCAAGCACTTGACGATTTATCGACGTGGCCCTTGACATGCAGACAGCAGGGAAAGCAAAGCCATTCTAGTTGAAAAAGAGACTCCAGGCATAGCAGGGTTTGCTATGTTCATGCTTCGCCACTCCCTGGAAAGCACAAGCACTGAGGCATCTTGGCGCCGACCGAGAAGTGGATGTGGCCAACAGTGAAGGCGCATGGCGATGGCGAGGGAATTTCTTGGAATCACAGATGATCAGATTGGCTGTGAAGAGACAATCTGAAGCTGGTTCTGTGAGATTCTGTTAGATCTTCTGATGCTGTGAAGCACTTCCTTATTTTCGTTGGTGAAAGTAGTTTTATTCTGCTGGGCGTTGACATGTAGAATTGCGTGGAGATGTGCTGCTCTCACAGCACCTGAAAACCCCTCGGACCCTCACAGTTGACAGTCCAAGTGACCAAGCTGACCCAGCATCTGAGTGGTGAATCCGTTCTTCTCCCTGAAAGCTCTCCTTGGTCGAACATCGTCATGGGGGAGCTCATTTCCTCGCACGAGGTCACTCCCAGTACTTAGCTTGCTTGAAGCAACTGCGACACGTCAAGAGCTGCAGTTCCATCACCAACATTGTCGATAGTTGGGACCTGGAAAGTAGCTGGCTGTCAGCAATAGAATCACCCACTCTTTAAATCTAGAACACCTCAGGCACCCCGGACTTTTCTCAGGACCTGATGAAGGTACAAACTGTGCTCCCTATGCTTGGGTGGCTCATGCGCGCGCTTGTTCTCCCCACCAGCCTATTTTCACAGGTCTGTGTATGATCTTTTGTTTTTGCCATAAAGACGATATTGCCAAAGCAACATCAAACTTGTAGCACTTTGGACTTTAAAACAGGGTCCGTCATTTGGAGTTCCCAACTCCTTGCCTTGGCGTTTTGACAGATAAGTCCTCCCAACGGCTCGTAAGATCCTAACAATTGTCCATAAGATCCTAACAATCTTCCATGGCCTCCACCCTAATAGCAAAAGGAACCTAACAGCGATGGCCTCCACCCTAGTAGCGACCTCGTAAGATCCTAACAATCTTCAATGCTTGGTGGTGTGGTCATGTCCATAAGCTCATCCAGGGCCGACAAAAGGGCCGGGTCCTTCAGCCAAAGATGTTTCAAGGCGCACAAAAAGGAGTACGCAGGTTCGGTCTGCAGACTTCATAGAGAATTTTTGACCTTGGCACCCCGGAACGGTCTGCAGATGGGGATCAAACGTTAAGTATATCACCAAACGCCGCAGAGGAAAAGCCAAGGGAGGGGTGTTGGAAGGTACTTCAGGACACTCAATTGGATCCGGTATTGGACCGTGTCGCCCTTGGATTGGGTCGCACTTCCGGAGTCCAGGCTTTTTCGCACTTCGGCGGCTTGGTGCGACACCTGTCGTCCGGTCTTGGACCGTGGAGTGCGTCAATGTCTGGTGCGTCAGGGGGGTGGTTTGGAGGGCATCTCAAGCTGCGTTTGGAGCTTTCCCAAAGCAAAAAAACGTGCCCAAAGCGTCACAGCCGTGGATCAGGCTTCGAAGTTCTGATGGTTGGACTGCGGGGTGTTCACGGAGACAACTGTGGACTGTGGCTTTGACGAAGACAAATGGTTAAGGGGTTAGTTGAATAGATGTCCTGTTCTGAACCGATGCATTGGCATTGCGGCTTGTTCACTTGTTCACCACCTTTTTTGAAGAAATCTGGATCCAAGCCCAGTGAATGAGGCATGGAGGCATGGATAGCTTTGGCTCAAGTACACAGAATGAGAGCAGAACCCTTGGTGGAAGACCTTTGTGTCTCCATCACCAACTACCAATACTTCAGCTGTAGATGGCAGTTAGTTCACCCCAGGAACCTGATGACAGGGTTGCATTTCGCATCACACCTTCCGTGAACGGAGCGATTGTAGTGTGTTTGTGTGTGTGTGTGTCCACGTCGAAGCTTCACCAAGCATTTGGATTGCCAGGGTGATCTCCCACCTTATCACTTTGCCAGTTCAGCAGGTGAAACACGGAACAAACATCTGGAGGATCCAACGGTGCCCACCAAGCTGGGGCTTCACTGCTTCACCACACCAATCATCCACTCCCAGGTGCTGAAGCACCTGGCACTGAGTGCCAAACAACTCATCCGAAGCTCTGGCACAGTCTCCACTGGAATCGCCTGGACTCACTTGCGAACCAAACCTGCCAAACCAACCCTTTGCCGGAAGTGTGGGCACATTCAGCAAGCACTCACCGTTTGCCAAAAGTCCGTCACCAAGACATGAAAACCAACCCTCCCAGTTCACACACCTGCAGTTGGCGCCCACGACCATGGCGCCGGGCATTGCGGCGGAGGTGCCATCACCACTGCAGCGGCCTGGCGATCCAAGAAGGGAAGTAAGCAAGTAAGCAACTAACCAACTAACTGACCGACTAACTAACCAACTAACTAATTATATAACTAACCCAATTAATTAGCTAAGTAACAGTAAGTAAGTAAGTAAGTAAGTAAGTAAACATTGCAACATGTAGCTGGTCGCCTTGTGAAAGGAGACCGATCCGGTGACGAAAAGAAGAGACAGCGTGAGGACATAGGTGGACATACTCATAATATGCATATGTGTGAATAGAAGAACAAAACCAGACCACGAGTCTTGGTCCATTCGTAGTGGGTTTTTGAGTTCAGAGCGTGAGGGAATCCACCCTTTCGAGTCAAGGCTTGCCTAGGAAGATCTTCGTTCCTTGCCACGTGGGCGGCGGTGCCAAGAATCGACCGAGGATACAAATAACCTCCACTGAAGAGAGAAGTAGCAGCTTGGCCAGCAGTGGAGGTACTCCAGCCAGATCCCCCCTTGGGGTTATTCACCACTTTATGTCCAACTGGAGTACTGACTTGGTGAACGTGTTTTGGAAGAAGAACGTCTCTGAAGCGCAACCTTCTTTGCGTCCAATGGATATGGGTCAAGACGGTGACATTTTAGGTCAGGTCACCGGCCAAACACACATAGGGATGTTGCCCTACCTTCTCTTGGATGAATCGAAGAGTGTAGCTTTGGACCTGCAAGGCAAGCAATACCGCAAACCGGAAGGGTGGCGATAATGGTGAAGAAAAGACTGCCAGATGAACCTGACAAACGCAGGGGATTGGATGATGTTCGGTTGTGAGTTGTAGGACATCCCTACTTGTGGGAAGGAACCACTCCAGCTCTTCGCACTTCCTTGCCCTTGTTGAGGATGTTATTCCATCTTGGATGTACTTGAGGTATATGTGGACTCCCTAATCTCCACAATCGCAGATCCATAGCTGCAATTCTACGCCATAAGGTCCCCCTAACTCCGTTTTTGATTGTCTATAGAACGATTGCTCAACGTCCCTAAGCGCTGCACTCCGAGGCATGCTGAAGTCCTGGTCCGTCTACCTCTTGGAGGTGGACGACTTCGGTCGCAAGTGCCTCGGAGCATCCACGGGAGCATCCTCGGTTCTCGCCTCTCGATTCGTTTGCTTCAGAAAGGAGCATATAGACGTGCGCATCGGTATGCACGCGATCTATGCTCTATATGCGATCAGGCCAATACACATATACCCACAAGTGAGTGCCGCGCGTGCTGGTGGCAAGCGGGAAACGTTTCGGGCTTGGCCTCGTTTTTTTCATGGCGAGACCTGAAGTGACAAGAACAACGGCTACCTTCGAGTCGACCTTTGACTCACAAGATCATCTCGACGTCTACAGCAGCCCCAAACCCCCCTAGAATATATTCCTTCGCTGCGGGGTTCACAAAGAAGAAGTGCGGCGAGCTCTGCCGACGTGTCGAGGTTCACGCTGGAGAAGAGGTTCGATGACTTCAACCAGCTGCACAGTGACCTCCGAGAAGTGGAACCTGGGATGCGGCTCGTTCGGTTCCAGTGCGTCCGAGCGTCGTCTTTCAGAGTGTTTGTGGTCCATTCACGGGCCTTTGGGGTTGGGAGCTTGATCTCCACCTTTGAGAGCTGGACCTTGTGAAGGTCAATCTGGCCCAAATCGAGTCCAAAAGACTAAATGTGTTCTTGGTAGAGGATGCAGTTCATCTTTGCCACACCTTTTTAATCAACCCTTAAAACCACTCGATTTTGGGTCTTGGGCTGGTGCCGGTAAGGTGTGGCGAGAGCGCGGGTCAGCGGTTGAAGGAGTGCTCTCGGAAGCTGGAGGTCTCGCAGCCAGGGTCGGTTTCGAGGGGTTGAAGGGCCCTTCGGGGCCCCTTGCACATCCAGCCTGGTGAAAATTGCATGCCTGGGTGAAAAATGGAAGATTTTGTGAAAAGATCCTGTGATCCCATTTGTTGGGTTTTAAGAGGAATTGGGGGAGGTTAGGGCACAACCTACGAGGAGGAGCCATAAAGATTGTACTGGCACGAACGTGGTTTCACAGATTTTGTCCTGGAGTAGCGTAAACTGCGAGACCCAAAAACTGGTGTCAAGGGCTGCTGCACAATCATGTTGATCGCCTGTCATGGCAAATGTGCTTTTGAGCTGAAGAAGTGTGCAGAAGTGGCGCTTCCAGCGGAGCTTCACTTGGGCTTGTGCCCTGTAGCCCCTTCTTGCGTGCCTCAATTGCTTGTAGGACTTAGGCCCAAGCTGGCTTGAAGCTGTGCTTTGTCAATCCTAGTTGCACAACTCACACTGACAGCATTCCAGCTGTGCTATAAACTGCTGTGTCCCGTGTGGCCTTGGCGAAAAGCTCTCAGACCCAATAAATATGAGTGCGAGCTCCCAGTATGATGCAACATTCTCGAGCTCTCACACCTGGCCAAATGCGCCCTAAGGCCACCCTTGCCAGAGAAGAAGTTCATGGCCTCCACCGACGCCAGTGTACGGAGCCCCAAAAACGAGATCAACAAGCGAGTCCTCCAAAAACAAACCTGAAGTAGCGATGGCCTCCAACCTAGTAGCGTTTGTGGCCTGCCAAAGAGGCTTCGGTCTGATGGTGAAACAAGCCTTTTTTCGCGGCCAACAGGTGGTGGCCGAACGCAAGCCTGCCTTTGAGCGGATCCTGCGGTACCTTCTGCGGAGCGAGGTGGCTGTCCATGAGCCACCCGGCACCGCAACAGGTTGGACTAGGAGCAAGAAGCTACTAGCAACAAAGGGCATCGCTGCTAGCAAGAAGCTACTAGGTGGATGAGTTGGGTGTTCTGATCTTGTGATGGCCATCCAACTGGGGGGGGGTGCGGAGAAGGATTCAACCTAGATAGGGTGCAGTTGCACGAAGAAAGGCGCTATGACAATTGATGAGGCGCAGTGAGATGAGGCAAGATATGAGGATATGAGATAGGTCTGCAGAAAAACTAGATGTGAACCAACGACAGGGTTCCTAAACGGGTGCACACCTGTAGTCAGGTGCGTCAACAGTGGTAACCTGTACGGAGTTGGCGTTTTCGGGGTCCATCGGTCAGCTGCAAATGAATCACGCGGTTCTTGTTGAAACGATTTCAGGCCCTGAAAAGAGCATAGCATGAGGTAGCGGTGACAACAGCCCCTCCGTGTTTGTTGGGGTCGTTCTCACTCCCGAGGTAGAGTAAATCACACATGCAGAAAACCATCAATGGTTTGTCAACACCTTCAATTTGTTTGATGTTCAATCCTTTGTTCTCCTTCTACTTACATTCCCTTCATACGCTAGTGCACGAGTTCACAGAAGGTTGGGCACAGCTCTGGTGAGGAATTCCTATTGTCAGAAGGCTCAATACATCTTACCACTAGAGAAGCACACAATCCATGTAAAGACATGTTACAGGATGTTATAGGCACCTTTCACGTGTCATCGGCACTTTTGATTGGTGCGTCGATCCAAAGGAAGGCTCAGACGCTCTTCAAATTCCTGGAGCTCCCGCCAGCGGCTGTGGTCGCCTTCCGCCCCTGGGCAACCATTCTTCACTCGGCTTTGACGGGTTCGGTGCTGTTCTTCAGTGGGGTTCACCTCCAGGTCAGCGATAGAAAGACAAATACATGTTAAACGGTTGGGAAGTGAAAAAGATGAAAGAGAAATGATCCGCGAATTCTTCGGAAACTGAGGGTGCCGCATGTTAGACCCATGTTTATGGTGTAACATTGGTTAAACCCTGGTGTTGCCATCGATTGCCTGGGTTTATTGCTACATTGGCCTACCGGTTTTGGGGAGTGCGAGGTGAAGTTGACTTAGTCCGGCAGACCTCATCAAGGCTTGATTTCGTCAACCACTCACGTGCAGACACAGAAAGAAGCCCAGACAGAAGGGCATGAACACCGTTATTCCTAGTGCCTCTATGTTCCTTTCTATCTCGCTCGAATTGGCTCCACTCCCGCTTAGCATTGGGCCCTTCCAAGAACTGGTCTTTAGGACTCTGACCCAACTACTAACCAAGAAGCTACTTGTAACAAGGGCATCGCTACTACTACTAGTAGCTATTTGCTATTAGTAGTAATGCACTTGTTTCTAGTAGCGATGCCCTTGTTACTACTAGCTATTTACTAAGGACTACCCACTGAGGCAAACCCGGCTCCACTGAGGTTACCTCTTCAAGACCCAGCGAGTGGCTTTTGCCCGGCAGTGTGGGAAGTTGACGGATCCCAAGTGGGAGAAGGACGACGGGCTGAGACGAGCTGAATGAGTCTTTGGATCGGTGTGTTTTGTTTTGTCCCATGGACTGCCATCTCAGGTGCTTGGGGGATCTTGAGCGCAATAAAGACATGGCAGCGAGCAGATTCAGCCCCATGGGAGTGGGATGATCTCGATGCAGGTGACGAAAAGAGAAGAGTGACGTCCCTTGTCGCAAGCTTTCTGCGTTCCTTCAAGAATGGGTGGTGCCCCAAAGAAGCATGTCAAGAACTCTCAGATGATGTGCGAGAGGCCCTTTCTGAAAAAGACTTCCATAGAACTTGCTATTTGGATCTGCACTTGGTCGCCCCTTTGATGCCTACATCGAACTGAAGTGGCTTCACTCGTCGACTTGACCAGGACTCCTATCGCTTGTCACACCCTGCAGTGCTGCGAACAAGCCTTCGTCTCCTGGAGGAAGGCACCGTGGCGACGCCGCCCGCGTCACGGCGCCAGCGTTTCGGGTCACTGGACGGACGGAGCGACAGGGCGACAATCGGCCGTTGGGATCGGTTCTTCGCGTGGATCGAACGAAAAAACCTGGGGAGCACTGGGTACCAGACCTCCTGGAGAGTTAGAACAGAAACAGGTTGTCTGATCTTTGAGAAGCATGAACTTGGAGTTCTGTTTTTCAATGTGCATAGGGCTCAGACGGGTAGAATCGGGTAGACAGGTTGATTTGGAATTGGCACGGAAGCCAAACAGGACAAGACCCCTTTGGAGCTGACCAAAACTCGTGGTGAGCCATACCTTAATTGGGAGATTCCCCAAGCCAGTGCATGAGAGTTTGTTCCCCGTAGTAAATAGAAGTCTTTGGAAGGTTCGATCTGGACACGCCTGTCTGGACTGTTTAGGTCCGTTTGTTTCCAATCTGCAAGCCCCTTCTGGCCCCCCACATCAATCACCCGAACCATGGCCAGGTGCGTTGAAAGAGGCAGAGCCGGAGGCAGGGCTTGTGTGCAAACCTTTGGCCTTGATTAGCTGTCGCCAATTCATATACAGATTGTTTTGCGAAATTTACTGAGACGAAACTGAGCTCATTGTTCAGCTGCTGGATGAAACTTGTCTTGGCAGTGCGACAAGCTAGTTGTTGAATTTTTGTTGGTCCAAGTTCTTCTGGAAGCCTGAAGAGTTTGCCCAAGATCTGTGCTCACATCGACGGCTGTCGGCATTCCACCACTTTCCGACTCATCACTTGGTCGCCAGGTGCAGGGAGAAGCAGAAGTGGCGGTGGTAGTGGCTCGGAAGTAGTGTTTGGCAGTTTGTGGTGGGGAAAGGAAAATGCCTTCGGAACTTGCAAGGGGCAAGGGTTTCATTGCACTGGGGACATTGACGAAACAATATGGGAAAGACGATGACTTTCAACGAGAGGGAGATGCCAGACAAAAGTCTTCGCCAGATTGCTGGGCAGAGTGGGAGGGTTCTTCCGAGCACCAGGTTCAAAAGGAGGTTCCGGCAATTTCTGTGAAATCATCAACAGAACACCCTTAGTAGATGCATCAGGAACTCGCACATTGGAAGAAGATGAGTCTTCTATATCAGGGCCGCAAAAGCTTGGGGAGTCCTCCGCAGCTTTTGGTGAAGACGCTGACATGTTCTTGGCATCCCCATGGATATCCGCATGGATCATGACAGCTTCTTTGACCGTGTTCCATGAATCTTCTGGTTGCTCATCAAAGTCCCTGTGTTTGTCAACCCTGTTTGTCAACTCATCCGTCAAGGTGCTTGTTCACGGCAAGAAGGGCTGCCACCTCCACTAGTTTACCCCAAAATCTCTCGTAAAATCCGTAGATCTTCATGACACTTCTTTATGGTTCATCATTTCAAGTCCTTTGTTTGACATACTTTTGTCATTGAGGTTCCACGATTCAAGCACAAAACGGGACTCGGGGAAACCACCAAAGACTGCCAAAATAAAGAATGGCATCCATCATAGTCTCATTGGTAAACTGCCGTAGACGTCACTCTCCGAAAAGAAGGTCCTTGTCCAAAGTACCACACGAACGCACGCACGAAGCGATATATAATTCAACAAAGCTGAAGAAAAGTTCTTCTTCCACAAGTGAATCTGAGTTGTGTTCTTCCTAAGAAAAATAAAGACATGATTGAATCGCAAGCGATTAGCAGCTATTAGGTTGGAGGCCATCGCTACTAGGTTGGAGCGATAGTAGACATGTTTTACAGAAAGTTCCCCAAGCGGGCCGGGGCGGCCAAACGGTGCGGCCGAGGAGATGCTTCGCTTCGCGCTGGGCTCGGGCAACGAGACCACGCGACAGCCACTGGGTGCAGAGTGAGGCGAATTCAAGTAGAGATGAGCCAAATGACCAGGTTTGGGTCATGGATGGAATTTGGAAGGTTGTTCTTTTCCCGTTTTTTGGCAGTCGACATTTTGGTTACTCGCTGTTTATTTGCTGCGTCGAGTGAACACAGTGGATGTTCGCATGTTTGTTCAGGTACACTTATATGTGTGCAGATATTTGCAGGCGTTTTTGCTTGTGAGTTGGAGATCATGGAGTCGGTGTTGTGGTGCTGAGTGCTGTGTTGTCCTTGGTGGGATAGGTTTTTATAGGTTTGGTTGACGGGATAGGATGGCTGTACTCATGGCATCCAGAGCATATCACACCAAAAGGGAACATACCTATTGTTGGTGTTTGTTGCAAAACAATTCCAACACCGTGCCACTGAAAGGCTCTGCTGGCTGCAATCGCATGCTTGGGCTTCTCCATGCTGGCAAAATAGCTTTTTATACAAACGTCTCGATTCATGCACTTAAAGTAAGATACCGTGGCCAACGCGATGGTTTCAACACCTGTCTCTCGGCTCAGGTTTTTTCTGCAAGAGAAAGGCGTTGGCGTCCTCTTGCGCTACATCTTCCGCAAAGGGAAGAAGGACGGTCAGGGTGCAATGCAACCGGTGAAAAGGTCCAAACCTTCCTCCCAGTGATTTTGACTTCACAGCCCATTTCATCAAAACTGCAAAGGCTGAAATGTCCAGGACTCGAACGTTCGTTTGAGAAGGATGATTTGAGTGTAAATACGTGACATCGTCATGTGTGCTTTCGGGAACTTGTTGAATTCTTGGGAAGGAAAGCCCAGACATCTAAGAGACCACACAGTCGGAAGAGATTCCGGGGCCACGTTGCCTTCCTCGCTGCCTACGTAGTGAGCACAGAGATCTCTCCCTCCTTCGCCGACGTTTGTCCAGGACCCCTCTGCCGGCCCAGACCAACGGGCACGAGGCAACGGGACAAAAGAACAACGGTGTGCATCACAAGTAGTCACCGAGGCTCCAAGAAACCGGGTAAACACTCGCTCTCCGAGCAGTGCGGAGCTTCCCCTGGTCCCTAGCCACTCTTCGAGCCGAGAGCGAGGGTCGCATGATTTGCTGCGCAGGCGTGTTGAATGCGCTGATCAAGGTGGAGGGCGAGCACTTCCCGGCGGTGATGGCGGACTTCCTGCAGAAAGGAGGCCAAAGCCCGGCCTTTTTGGCTCTCTTAAGCGATGGCCTCCAACCTAGTAGCTTTTTGTTCCTAGTAGTAAGGCCACCAGCAGCGACGGCCCTCAAACGACCGAAAAGAAGCCACGACCACAGAGGAACAGGAGAAACCGCCCAAAGACCGGCAGGGCAGCCGACACAGATCCACACGACGCTGATAGGCTAGGTGTTCAGACGTCGCTTGGCCCTTAGCTACGCTGGCCAGGCGTTTCGGCCTTGCAGGAGGGGACGGAGTTGCTCCGACATCCAGGCGAGACGGACGGAGAAAAAGCGAAAGGGGGTGTCAAAAGCACCCAAAAGCCTGGGAAAGGCATCACGAGGATTCCACATGTGGCTTCAGTCATCTGGAGTTGATTTGGTCTTGCTCTAAGGCTGTGCACCATGGACAACAAATGGGTTTCTGTTGAAGTTGGCTTTAGCTTCTCCAGCCCAACCGTGCTTGGATCGCTCGCGAAGCCTGTCCCCTTCCCGTGGTCTCGATGGAGTGGCTGGGGATGCCAGGTTTTGCTGACTTCATCTCGAAGCTCCTGTGGATCGCCTGGGACGTTCAGGATGGGCAACGTTCCAAAAGCGAAAAAGATCCGAAGATCAAAAGCTCCAGAAACTGAAAATCTTTGATCAACAAATGCTAAATAGCAGACCAGTCATCAGCGGAGTCATATCATCAGATGCTCTCAGCGGGTGTGCAGGTCCAACAGGTCTTCTTCGCCGAAAGCTCTCGCCCAGAGGTGGGACATTCAGCAAAGGGGCAAGTAGCTAAGGGTAGCTAAGCCTAGCTAAGCGTAGCTATGTGTAGCTATGTGTAGCTAAGCATAGCTACGTGGCTAGCTATGTGGCTATGATTTGCTATGTGACATGCTCTAGCGTAGCTATCAGCTATTGTTCAGTGGATACTCGAACGGACTTCTCCAAAAAAGGTCTCCCATGAGCCGCCATCTGCCAGCAGTCCGTGGATCGGATCATCGGAGGCCTAAAAAAGTATCGAGACTCCCACTGGCTTCACACGGTCAGGTGCACCCCACTCCGTCAGCCCAACTCCTTGGCCCTACACGTATGGCATGCGTCCAATCGCGTTGGGAGGCCTTGGCCCTCCTCTCGCAGCTCTTCGTGTGCCCCTCGAAGGGCGCCAGGGTTTGCGCAGGCCACGAATAGCCAAGAACAAAATCATCTCTTCCACTGAACGGGCTTTGCTGTTCCTCCCAGAACAGCTTGGCAAATGTCGCAAAAATGTCGCCATGCTACGCCTCGTTCGTTGTGTCAGTTCGCCAGGGCTGCTCTTGGCCAACGCCTTGTGCCACGACCAGCTGGGCGCCGAGCGCAACGCGGCCCAGGCGGCCGAAGGACTTCGGCAGCTGACGGAGGCCGGGGCGGGTCGGTGCTCAGGAACTGAAGACGAAGAGGAACAAGCACAAGGGTGTTTGCCTTGGATCGGATGATCTCAAGTGCCCCATCTCTTCCCTTTCACCACCGGAAGTCTCGATAAATGAAACATTGGAAAGCTCCGAAGCCCACTGCGCCTTTGCCAGGAGATGGCTTCTTTGGGCTCGTGGGAGAGCCAAGAGCCCGAAGACGTGGAGGTGAGGAACCTCGTTCAAGGCCGAGGGCACGAGTCCGGAGGAAGAGGAAGAGCAGATGGTGTGGCATTTTCATATAGGTCAGGGGTCTTTGGAATGTTTTGTGTTGCGTTTATTGGAGCCTGAAGCGAATCTAACTAGATGGGGATAGAATCTGGCCGCATCCTCCAGAAACGATCGAGCGGACAGGATCCGAAGCACCGGACCCGTCAGGCTTAGGCCAAAACGCCGAGCGCTTCGGACGGATCCTGTCCGGGCGGCCCAGGGGGGGGCTCCGTTGGTCGAAAAAGCCGAGGGGAAAATGAGAGCTACCGTTGGGAGGAGACGAAGGTCCCCGGCAAAAAACGAGGATTCCATTGCATGATAGATAGATCAACATCAGTCTGGATGGGTCGTGAACTCCGCTGGTTGGGCATACCAAGGCTCAGCGAGGTCAGTGCACCCCTCGCCACATGTAAAATCTGTGAGAAAGAACAGATGTCAAGTGTATTGCAGTATTGCCTCCAACAGTGAGTTCTTCGCGCCCCTGCACTTCACAGAGCTTGCAACTCTGCCCTGTTGCTTTGATCCTAGGACCTGTGCACAAGCACCCTGGGAGCAGAACCAGGGCCAGCTTCCTGACGAGGTGGCCAGGGCAGTGTGCTGGAGAATCCATTCAACATGTTTTTGCGGGTAAAGCCCTTGGTTTGGTCAAATGATTTGGTTGTCTTTTGTTGCAGCCCTTAATAAGGCCTTAAAGAGATGCGAAGACCTACCTCTTTTGAAGCCATCAAAGTGTCATTCACCAAGTGCGGTGCCATTCTTTCGTCTTTTGACACCGCAGGGGAGTCCCTTGTGGCCGGGTGCAACCTTCAGCTTGTGGTGCCTCCTGCGGATGAAGCCGGACCCCTCCAGGTTGGCGCAGAGGTTACGAGATCCTTGTGGGGAAGTCTGGCTGGGTTTGGTTGGTGAAAGCTTCATGTCAGGCGCATTTGGTTTCGGGGTTCCATTTCATAGTTGGCTTCATCAAGCCACCAAAGGCACTTGCAAGCGAAGCTGTTCATGTCATGATCATTTGACCAGTTATATACCACTTGTTCTCCAAAAGATCTTTCCCTCCAGTTCCTGTCCCGACGGAGGCTCTCCCAGCTGCGGCCTGCCCTGCCGGCGGTGGCACAGGTTCTCCGCTTGGCTTTCAAGTAGATCAGCCTCGAAAGGTTAAAAATCAGGAGGGTAAAAGATTGGAATCGGAGTCCAAGGCCAGACGACAATGTGACATGTGCAAGCATGAAATCAGATCATTGAAACATGTCTCAAGAGGAGACCTGAATGTAATGCGGTTCCTTCGGTTCCGAGAATGCGACACCGGGTTGCACCTGCCAGGGCGCTCCACCACGCGCACGGTGGTTGGCGGGCGAGCTGCTCCTGCAATTGCAGCTACAGGTGTGCGCACCGGTTCACGGCCATGACTTTGTGGCTTTTACTGATGTTTATTCCAACCTAGATAGTAGACTCACTTTGATTGGCTTTGAGACTGCGTTAATAGCTTTAAGTTGTTGCTCTCAAGTCCGACATGTAGTTGAGAATGCGGCCAGGGATTTAACGAATCCACATCAAGTGAAAAGGAGAAAGTGTATATTTACTCTCACAACCATCAAAAAGAAGCAAGAAAATGGGTGGTGTTCATCCATGTCCTTTTAACGGTTGTCTCCAAGGTCAGTGTCACAAGGTCAGACCGAGCCCAGGTGCCCAGCCAATTGGATTCCAAGATGGATGCCATCGTGGAGACCAGTATTCAGGACACCTCGGTGAGGTCCAGAAGAGCACTGGACAAGCGACTTGCAACAATTGCACTGGATCATCAGATTGCTGGTTAAGCGTCCATGTTTGTTTTTGTGTTTGTTTGTTTGCCCGTGGCCCTACTGCCTCCTTACTTAATTGAGTAGGCGCCTACTTAATTAAGTAAGGGCGAAGTTCTTGCAAGGATCATCAGAATATCTAAAGAAAATGTCACTGCACTGTCCATTGTCATTCTTCCCTCAACCATGTTTGTCCAAGTTTTTCCAGGAGCGCACAGCACTGGAGTTGTCCTTGCAGGAGATGTTTGAGTGCTGGTGCTCAGTGATATCCAGTGATGGAGCAATTTGATGCTACAAAAGGCCTCCAAACGGATTCTGTCAGCATTGACCTTCATGGAGGTCGAGAGTAGAAAACAACCCGAGACCAACGGCAAATCGGGAGAAAAGAGCTGAGGCATACGCGACGCAGCCTCCAATCCGAGCTGGGTGAAAGCTCCCAGGCAATCGGGAGATTCATCAGGGATTGAGGTGAAAGTCCACAGCGAATCTTGATTCTCAAGTGACTGACGAAGCTCATGATTTCATTCGTGGAGGACACGTTCAGCCAGTTTCAAATCTTCCTGATCTCAAGAAACCTTCCCGGGTTTTTCGCATAGCAACCGATTGGATTGGGAAGAAGTTTTTTCTCCGTAACGTGCGGGACTAATGGAAGATCCGCTTGTGCAGATCCCCATTGTGCTGACACGCTGATTGTTGATGTTTTTGTGCTCATGGGTTTGGGCGAGCTGCAAACAATTCTTACTTTTCTGTTTCCACTGTCACTAGAGTTGGTACAGAAAAGTCACAAATCATGTCGGCTGTGAAACCGCGATTTGAGCAGCCCAAATAGATTGACAGGTGCCTCCTCACACATATGGTTCGCTCATGGAATATGCTGTCAGCTTGTGGGTGGTTAATGGACCTTGGTCAAGCCAGGTCATTGAGACACAGCAGCGTTTGCTGGAGCTGCGACAGCAGCGGGAGCCCACAGCATTTTGACCGACTGGCCAACGGTTTTTTTTCTCTTCGGACCAACGTCCATGGATTTGTTAATACATTTGGGTGGGTGTCGGCCTTCAGCAGGGGTGGCGCGGGGCATGGGCATCCCGCTTGGCCATGAACAATGGACCCAGGTACCCATCAAATGCCCGAGCATGGAAAACCTTTTCCAGCAATACCCACAAATACAGACCAGACAAAGCAGCTGCGGTGGTTGTCTACAATCACATGATGCCCAACTACGCCAAGTGCTTTGAATAGAGATGTTTCTCCGCTTGGGTCCAAAGACGTCAAAGAGATAGCACACGTCCGGAAAAAAAAATCCTTGACTAGATTAGCTACTAGTAACAGGTGCCACGCTAGTAGTAACAGGTGCCTTACTAGTAGTAACAATGTTTGCTATTAGAATTAAAAGTAAATGACTTGAGAGTCTTTTGATGTCTTAAACGTTCAGCACGTGGTTTTTTGGTCACGTTTCCGGAACCTGAGTGATCACCAGGCCCTTACCGATGGCCACGGGCTCATCGGTGCCCGAACTCAGAGTGTTTGGAAGGTCGGTCGGTCGGTCTTGGGCTTTGTTCTTACGCATCTTAGTGAACAAAGACATCAACCAGACTGAATGTTTCTCAGTACCCTGAGTTTAGAAGCAGAATTAGAATATTCTTGTTACTATTCTTGTTACTAGTTGCTTCTTGCTCCTAGTAAGGCCCTTGTTACTAGTAGCGATGCACTTGTTACTAAAAGCTTCTTGCTCCTAGTAGTCAATGAGGAGGGCTACACTGCTACACGAATATGCACTCAGAGCTTTTGGACAGCTTTTGTTGGCCGATCAGTTGATTCACTTGATGACATTTCCTGCCATTCGTCCGTTGAAAGACGCAGCATGGCCGCTCTGGCGGCGAGTTCCACGTCCGAGGTCGCTGGAAGCGGATGGCATCAACCCCTGGAGGCCGACGGTGGTCCGAGGGGATCTTCGGAAGGTCTGGGAGGTTGGAGTAGATTTTGGGCGTTCTTTTCTCTTGGTTTTTGCATTAGACCTTTAGACCTTTCTTTTTGTCCTTCCTTTCAATTAAGCGTCTTTGCCTTTGCTATAGAGATTCTACTTGGAAGAGACTCTGTACTTGAAGCGCAGCTGTGATGTCGCCTGAGGCGGCCTTGGCAAAGCTCCAAACAGCGCGAGAGGAGCTGAGCCGAGCGTTGGGAATCCTGGACATTTTCGAGGGGAAGACTTTGCAGAGCGTGCCTGGAAGACTTTGTTGATTCATTTCAATAGAGCAAGAGGTTTTGCAGTGACTGGACAACTCTGGACCTCCAGGGAGTTCATGAGAGAACTCTTGGTGGACAAGAGATCCGAGACATCGCTTTTCAGCAGCCTGTTCAATAGGGACAGCTTCAAAAGTTCTTGAGCTGGTTGGAAGTGAAGGAGAGCACGGAGAACGTGTCCTTTCTTATTGTTTGTTCTCTTTTCCTGTTGTTCTTCTTGACGTTTAGACCTTCTTGTCTTTCAGCGCTCAGCAGCGAGGCTGACCGATGCTGCGCGGCAGCGCGAGACCGCTCAAAGTGCTGTGCCGGGCAGCTGAGGAGCGAAATGGGAAGGTCGAAAGAAGAAATCCCACGTACGAAGAATCAAAAGAAATCGACCAGTTAGAAAGGTCTGGGTGGGAGCTACAAATCGCTGGCAAATGAAGAATGGTGGCTTGTTTTGGTTTCAGTTTCAATCCGTCATCGAGGCTTGTGTACAACAAGTGATGGAAAGAGTCACCCGGTGACGTTCCGGTTCCCCGGTGATCCCGAAAATCTCGAGGTCGTTCCCTTTCTGTGTGGCGGCTTCCGAACTTTGTAGCTTCCGAGGCACGACGTGCTTGAGATGGAATTGACCACTGATAGCGCGGAGGACTGGATCTGGGTGGCAGAATCAACCCAGGTGGCACTAGCAGACCAGCTTGAACTCTTGAGATTGAGGAACACGGAAAGGAGTTCAAGTGCAGTTACTAGAAAACAGGAGGGACGATCTGAGAAATTATTAATATGCATTATGATCAGCTAGCTGTTTGTTTCAGCTGGTGACTTCATCGTTGCGGACTTAAGTGAACCTTAGTCGCTGTTGGTCATTGCAGGACCAGCAAATGGACCAGCAGCTGCAGTGTATGCGGCAGACGGAGGTGCCTTTTGATTCCTGAAGAAAAGATGGATGGTTCTCCCGCATCGTTGAACGAGCGGTGCCCACAGCCAAGATGAAGTTTACCCAGCAAGACAATGAAAAAGAGAAGAACCCAAATGAAAGATTAGTGGTGATTTCCAACCAAAATGGATCATCTTGGATCCATTCAACTATTCCTCGTGAGATCTCGCACTGCACCAGACTGTCAGGCAGAGTACACTGCCCGGCACTCGGAGCATGGAGCCCAGGGGAGAGTCACAATCCCAAGTGGTGGGGATCATGCTTTGCTGATGAGTAGACCTGAAAGATGTTCCGAGCACCTAATAGCGATGGCCTCCGCTCCGAGGCAAGAGCAGCAAAGCTCCCTGCTCAAGTCGCAAGAGGAGGAGGTTGTGGGCGGCCACAGACAGATGGCGATGGCGATACCTGTTTTTTTTCCACCATTGAAGCCCAAGACGTGACCTGGGCCTTCAAAATCTCGTGGGAAAACTTGGAACCAAACAGAGCTAGGAGAACTTCTTTTCCCAACACAGCCCTGAACTGTCCAAGGCCACGGCTAACACGGCCATGGAGGCAGCCGACAAGGCGGCTGATGGACATAGAGGACATTGACACCCCCCCATCCGTTCATTCTTCAAATGATTCAAAAGAAGATGGGCCATCAAGAAGGACAGCATGTAGTAATCAACAAGCACAATCTCCGCAATCGCCTTGGCTGCCGCTGATTCACACGGATCTCCCTATTGATAGCTCACTCCCAGTTGCCAGGTGCTCCAAGAGATGCGAAGCCGCATCGCCGGCTACGAGGCGTGGCTTCGGCAGGTGTTGGCTTTGGTCAGTCTTTTTGAACTGGCCGCTGTGCAAAGGTTTATGTTTTTTGAGCCATCTCCCAAACACACATCTCTCGCTTGGCGTGGCTTAGTGCTCTTCACAGACTCCAGGATGGTGCAGGCCTTTGAAACATGAAGCAAAGATGACCAGTCCCAACACTGTAGAAAAAGCCACCTCCCTCCTCACGTTTGAGGTGAGCTTAACTTGACCTGCATAGTCAGGCTGACATCTCCAGCCGGCAGCGGGAGGAGTGGCCCTCAGCTTTTTGCTTGTTTACGAAAGCCAGCCTTCGTAGAAGGCACCAGCTGAGTTGTGCTTGGCGAACGAAGTGAGTAGGTAGGGGGTTGGGGGGGGTGGCCAGAGAAAGGTACACATAAACTCGGCACATGCTGGGGGAGGAGGGTGCACCGATGGAAAAGGTTTTGGAGGTTGTTTTGGAGGTGATGTTTTGGTGATTTTGGAGCGGGTGGTGATGCAAGAAATGCACTTTTTGCTTTTGCATCATCTGAATGTGGATGGCTTCTCAAGGGTTATCTAGCGGCTTGGGGAAAGGGAAATTGAAGTGCTATACCATGCAACTGAATTGTAGTTGCCTTGGGTCCGTACAAATGCTATTGTGCTATACTTCCGACACACCTATATACGTTCAAAGCACTAGTGAGACTGGAGGGGGAACTTGAAGTGCAACATCATTGGATCATTAGATATTCGATCGCAATCCCGTCTTTCTGTGTAAACTGTCCTGTGTAAACTATCCTTTTGCTGGGCAAGAGATTGCGACTCCTTACCTTGGGTCCGTATAAATGCTATTGTGCTATACTTCCGACACACCTATATAAGTTCAAAGCACCAATGAGACTGGAGAGGGAACTTGAAGTGCAGCATCACTGGATCATTGGATATTCGATTGCAATCCGGTCTTTCTGTGTAAGCTATCCTGTGTAAACTATCCTTTTGCTGGGCAAGAGATTGCGACTGTACATGGACAAGACGCCCCTCCTAAAAAGACCCATTTCCGCTACAACAAGGTCGATGTTTGGATGGAGTTACAGTGTTTTTCCTATTTGCATGGACCGTTTTCCGCTGCCCTGGGTCCGCGCGCGCGTGCGCCCTCACCCACATTGTTACTGCAAGGAGTCGCCACCCTGCCAGCCTTCGTAGAAGGCGCCAGCTGAGTTGTGCTTGGCGAACGAAGTGAGTAGGTAGGGGGTCTGGGGGGGGGTGGCCCGAGAAAGGCATACGTAAACTCGGCAAATGCTGGGGGAGGAGGGTGCACGGATGGGAGGTTTTGGAGGTTGTTTTGGAGGTGATGTTTTGGTGATTTTGGAGCGGGTGGTGATGCAAGAAATGCACTTTTTGCTTTTGCATCATCTGAATGTGGATGGCTTCTCAAGGGTTATCTAGCGGCTTGGGGAACTGGAAATTGAAGTGCTATACCATGCAACTGAATTGTAGTTACCTTGGGTCCGTATAAATGCTATTGTGCTATACTTCCGACACACCTATATAAGTTCAAAGCACTAATGAGACTGGAGAGGGAACTTGAAGTGCAATGCCTTTCAGCATCCATATTTGAGCAACTGGTAAAATGTAAACACGCAGCTGCATGAAGTGTTCCGTTTCTTGTGGCCTCGAGCAACTTATAGATGGAAGCAATACACATAGTGAAGACCCATAGGCTCATAGGAGACGTCTCAGCTTTCATGCAACTTCTGAAGTTTTCACTACTAACTCTTGGCTGCTTTGCACCCTTGTTTCACCGCAGCCGCGCCGCTCGTGACAAAATAACGCTGGCCTTTTCGTTTTGCAGTTTCTCAGGTAGTAAGTAGCAGATGGCATCTCAATTTCAATTGGAGCTTCAAGACTGCATGGAAATCCAGATTAGAAACAAGAAGCTACTAGGGGCTCCTGGCCGTACTACTAGGAGCAAGGACGCTACTAGGGGCTCCTGGCCTTACTGCTAGAATCAAAACGAGCAGTTGTGTTTGAATTCGGATGGGGTTCCAGCTTCCTGTCAAGTTGCGGTTGGTCCGACATTGAGCAAAGGTGCAGCACAAGCGCACCATGGCATCCTCAGACATGCAGGTCCAAATGGGCGGGAGAAAGATGAAAGATGCGACATGCCAGGTGTGAAAGATGTTCTTTTGAATCCAAGTAAGAAGATCTCAGGTTCAAGTAACGAGGCAAGCTGACCCATTTGAGAACATTTTGACGATGTAACATGACCGGGTGTAGAGAACCGCAAATTGAGCAACCAAATAAAGACAAAAAACAAGGAAAACAATGATGGATTCTTGTTTCATGTGTTATGAAATTCAAGACCGTCTTTTTTGCCTAGGTAGCACCGTTCTTGCAACAACATTTTTGGTATCCATTCTCGTCATGCGTTGCAGGCCGCACGGGATCAGCTCTCGAGTGAGTTGGACGGCATCAAGCAGAAGCAGACGAAGCTTCGCGAACGTGCCCGATGGCCCAAGAACGGTTTCCTTCGATTTGAGAACAAGTTTTTTTAGCAAGAAAGAAAAAGTGACAGAAGAGAGAGAGAGAGAGAGAAAAAAAGAAAGAAAGAAAGAAAGGGGGAGGGAGTCAGAGTGAGAGGGACCAAAGCAAGCACCGAAAACTTGAATTCCCTCCCCTACTGGCTAAGCTTGCTGATGTTGTGTGTTCCAGGAAGTTTTGTTCTTATGAGCTTGGCCCATTTCTGTGTTTTGAAGTGGTTCTAAGCGGACTTAGAGCGCTGCTGCAGCCTGAAATGCAAACCCGAGGCTTTACAACTCCAATCTGAGGGACAAGACGCGTTGCGGCACCCAGGGGTGGGTTAGATGTAAAAAATGTCCTTCTGGTCCTTTCAGCTAGAGTCCAAGCTCGTTCGAGAAAATCTCTGAAAGGAGGATTAGAGTGAATTTGAAAGGAGGAATAACAAGACATTTGCATTTGAAGAGTTACGTTGCTTTCCTTTGGCGTGTCCAGGCCGGACAAGGCCAGGGAGATGGACCGCCTCAAGGTGCGGAAAAAGAGAGATGGCGCATTCTAGCTGACATTTGAAAGAAATAAATACAGACAGAAAGTGGAAGGATAGGATTTTTCTGTGGAAACTTTGGGCTGTTAGAGAGTGAAAGGTTCAGCTTTGCTACCGCGGTCAGCTAGTGAAAGATCATGTCGGTGTGGCCAAATCGGGAACTTCAGAGAAATCATCCAACGTGCCAACGCCCAGGCAGAGGCCGGCCGTTTGAAAGCAAGAGCAGCGGAGTTGACGCAGGACGCTGAGCAGAGTTCATCAAGTGAGTTCAAGGCACTGCCACTAGGTTTTGGAGGCTCTAGAAGCAACAACCTGAAAGGAATTGAGAGTTTTGGTGTGTCAAATGGGAAAGACCATCCAAGGGTGGTTTTTGCAGCGGAAAGGGTCAACCTTGGTCAAGTGGAGAGAATCCCTTAACCATGCCAGTGCATTCTCAACTTCTGTGAGCTTGTGGCTCATGATAAATTCTTTGGTGAAAAGTATTTTCCTGTGGGTCGGCACCGTGTGATGAAATATGTGAGTCTTCTTGTTGCTGTTGCCGTAGGTCCTCCGATTGCAGTAGGACGAAGTTAGAATGCTTTGTGATATAAAGTCCTCAAGACTCTGCAAAAAACGGTGGTCAAGGTGGTGCGTTATGTCCAAAGTCATTACTGCGCAGCTTCAGCTGTTTGTGGTCCCAAATGGTAAACTGGTGGCTTTGCCAGCTCTTTGCTCCAAGTTCCGTGTGATTGACGCCACCTGTGTTTGCGCACCAATCAAGGGCTGCTGATGGCTGCTGCCTTCCATCCTTCACTTGTTGTCACAGGTTGCAGGCGCTTCCTTGTCAGGTTGGAAGCAGCAGACCAGGAGAAATGAATTTAGCCCGCTTTATCATTGCCAGTTGGCAAAGTTGAGAAGCGATAGCGTTTACCGGTTCATTGTCTTCAATTGGTTTGCACACCCATGCACTGGTTGAGAAAAGACGCAAGAGATACTGGGCCAACGGAGTTTGGCTGAAATGACACCAGCGTGGGAAACAGTGGGTTTGAACCTGAACCGGAAGGGGGTTCCTTCCAAGCTCGGGTTGAAGCCCACCCATTCTGTTGGTCGAAGCTGTTCATCAGAGCAGTGGCGAGGCTCCGCAAGCCATGCTTGGCTGTTGCAGAATCCAAAGTGCAGATCTTCGCAACAAAGCCACATAGCTTTGAACACTCACGAAGCATTTGATATCATTTGAAAGTGCATGGCATTGATACTTTTGAAAAAGCTACCTATATCGGTTGCGCTGTTCTTGAAAAAGCAGCAGCCCCTACACGATCTGTCGTTGGGTTTGTTTTCAATAGATCGGGATGGTGGTGGAAGGTGCATTCATTTCTATTTTCAAAGATCAACATGGTTCCTCATGTGATGCGAAGGATTCAATCATCCTCACGTGCTTCATGCTGGTAAGCTGTCAACCAGCTCACTGCCAGGAATTGCAGGCCGCTTCTGTGGACCCACAGCAGCTGGAGCAACAGGCTGGGCGTGGGCATTTCAGAAGGCTTGACGGCGGTAGCAAACGCACATGCCATTGGAATCACAAATGTATACTGTTCGGAGTTGGGTTGTTCGGCTTTGCAAAGACTCAGACTCCAGGTTTTTATTGGTTGTGTACCGGTCACCTTCGGAGCTTCCGGCAGAAAGCATGTTTGGAGGCTCAAGCAGCAGAGCACGCTGTGCAGCACTTGGGGGAGCAGCGAGACGACCTTCGAGGTCAATTGCAAAGTTGCTCGGTGAAACCGGTCCTGTTCCAGCATCATGTTTGCGGCTAAGGAATTATTGCAAGCGGTTTGGGTGTCTTTGGTGGGGTTTGCATTCTTCTAGAAATCTTGCAAGCGCAACAGGCCCTCCAAACATTACTATCTTTCATGAAACAGTTCGAGTGATGTCACTATTCAAATTGGAAGGCCTTCGGGTAATTGCCAAGTTCCACTGCTTCCATCCGTGAAAGCCAATTCATATTCTCCCCGGAAGCAGCTGAGGTTTGGAAGAAGACCACGCCCAGGCATCAATGGGTACGGCGAGCAGTTGGTTCATTGTACAAACCATTGGACAAATTGTTGCTTTACGTGCTCTCTTCAGCCCGTGCCCACTGTCGCAGCACATGAATCGAGCAAGGCAAGATCCGAATGGCAACAGGCAGTCAGCAGCTGGAGACCCAGAATGGAAGCGCAACAGAAAGGTCATAGCAATGCATACTCATCCACCTTCGGCTTTTTGAAATGTCCACTTTCAAAACACGTGCGACAACATGGTTGCTGTTCAGGATTGCAACATGCCCGGCAGGAAAAAGAGGCTGCGGAATGGTGATGTTTCGCACCTTCAGATAAGATAGGAAAGACGTTCGTTGGCACATCCAGAATGTCTCTTGTGGGCCCGCAGTTTTTGCCTTTGTCCACCCTGAGTTTCTGCCAACAATTTATGGCTGAGCACGTTATTTGTCATGCAGGTGGCCGATTTACAAGGTTCCAGCTTGAAAAGGCAACTGGAGGCGTGGGAGCAGGGATTGGTGTTGTCTCGCTCTAGTTCATGGAGATGGTTGGGTGTGGGTGGGGCAACTTGTCTTTGGCTGAACCTGCTGCAGGGGCAGTGGGCGTCTTGGCAGCCGTTGTGGTCAAAGCGCCTGCAGGTACGAAGCAATCGCATCTTAATCCAAAAGCTTTCAATTTCGTGTTCCGTTCTGCGCGGCGTTCATCCAGTGATTGCCAGGCCTGGCGTCAACGTGCCCAAGTCTTGAGCAAAGCATCTAAGAGCACTCAGCTCCTGAGTTCTGCCGCACAACTTGCATGGGATCAGCTGGGGGCCCAATGGGATGTGTGCAGCTTTGGTTGAAAAGAGTTTGGATCACAAGCAGCAGAAGCAAGAACTTTGACAGATCCCATGATGGGCTAACCTGTGCTTTGAGGTTACGGCTTGAGGCAGAGTCTCGGCATGAAGCTCTGAAAGCGATCGAAGAACTGCAGCCGGGGACCAAATTTAGCACAATCCGTGATCCAATGTGCTTTCTTGGCACCTTCACGTTCTCAGAGAAACCTTCCTCTCAACCAAGGCAACAGCTGGCGTTCCTGGCACATGTTTCTTGGCCAGTCACATTCTGGACTTGCTTCACATGCAAGCATGATGAAAGAATTGCTGGTGTTATCAAGATCAGTATCGCCATTTCGTCCACCTGATGAACTTGCACAGCTGCCAAGGATTTGTCATCCATCCAGGAGGGGCGCAAGTTGAGCAGCAAACATGTTCATCAAGGGTTACTTTCCATTCTATTGGGTGAATGTTGGCAATAGGAATGCCATAGGCGGGTTGACCACTGCAAGCAAGTCCTTCTTTCTTCAGGACGATACGTTGAATTGAACATGAAAAAATAATAATGATAATCATTCAGTGAGTTTTGAAATGATTTCCGAGTTGCGGGTATTTTGAAAATTCATCACGTGAGCTGATTGAGGAAAGTTGGGGTGCCCTTGTTTGAGGGAGGATTTCACAGGGAGTTGGAGGGGCTGCAAGGTCACTTGCTGGAGTAAAGTGCACTACGGGGCGTAAGGAAATTGGAATGTGATCCATATTTTTCTAGAATCCCAGAATGGAATGGACGTATATTGATATAAATGAATGAGATAAGACACATTGTTTTCTTTTTTTGGCACATTGGAGTGAGTACTACAAATGATGCGATTGTTTTTCCCATGTTTTTATTGTTTTGTTTTGAATTATGGATATTAATAAATTTTAGTTGATATTAATATTTTATTATAATTTGATATTTTAATGCCGATTATAAGAATTATAGATTATTAAAAAATTAATAAAATATATTGATTGTTAATAAAAATTAGTAAAGGTAATTTATAAATTTTGATTAATAATGTTTTTTCTCGATTTTATAGATATAATCTATATTTATGGATTTTAGAAATATAAATAATTATAATAGTTATATAAATATTAAGATTTATATATTAATATTAATTTGTATGGGCATTGAATGATTTTATGGTAATGGAAAAATAATTATTATTAGATTGTTATTTTTTGTTATGTATGGGCGATTAATATAATAATTATTTAATATTGATAAATTTAAACTTATTTTATTATATAAATTAATTTTATTTATGTTCTTTGATTTTTGATATAATTTTTATGATTATAGAAAATATTGTTGGAAATTATTTTTTTTTTTTTCGTTGCGTTATAATTTGGTTGATTTAATTGGTTATTATGAAATATTGATTATTTTGGAATTTTAATATTTTTTTTTTTTGGAATTACGAGGAATTATTTATAATATTAATTTAATTTATTTATATGGAATAATATTTTTCGTTGCATTAAGGAAGGTTAAATTTAATGTGATCGTCGTTTGATTGATAATCGTATATATTATTTTGGAGTATTAATGATTAATTGATTTAATAAAATATTAAAATTTTAAGATAAATATGACTTTACAATTGAAATATAGGTTTTATTGATTGATTTATATAATTATTTGATTTTTTAGGTATGAATTGGATATATATAGGTGAATTGGAACGATATTTGTGGTTATCGTACATGTAATTTTTAGGGTCTTGAATTATTTTTTTTCCTCCGCGCCACTCGCTCGAAATATTGAACGTCTTTATTTGCGTTTAATTTGGAAGATTTTAGAGCTTCATTATTAAGTCGAAATTGGAAACGGAACCTAATCTATTCCTTTGTAACTATATTAAGGATGAATTATTTGATTGAGGATTTCTTTGAAATCCGCCTTGTAGTTAAGAATAACGTCGTTTTAACGATCGTGTTCGGTGCACCATGGCCCAAAAAGACAAATAAAGAAAAAGGCAACAGGAAAAACAAGGTGAGATGCCCCATCTTTGCCTATAAAAACCAATGATGAAGGAACCTCCCCGAGGTTTAGATTCAGAATTCGCCAAAGCCGCTTCTTTGGCCGAAAGTCTCAGTCAGAAGACCTGTCGGCCGCTTGAGTTGTTTTCATTTCAGTGTAGGCGGAGGTCACGTGATGCGGATATAGCGGGTACATTGCTTGTTATGAAAGCCTCTGCGTGGGAAGCATGCGAACATGGATTACAAGGAAATATAGAGCCGTTCAAGTCCCTTGTGAAGCTGCTGCATCAACTGTCTTAGTACGAAGAGATGATTGCGATCCCAATCGCTGTTTAGAGTTTCTTGATAAATTCCAGCGAAACAAACATGAAGAGCTGCAAGCCGATTCCGGCGGGACCATACCTCCTTTGCTTGGTTGTTGGCACCTCAGCTGAAGCGTATGTACGGCGATGATTTTGACTGTGACAATGTCAGCCAGATTTTCATGAGGATCTCCGGTGGCGACCATAAGTCAAACAACAAGGATCTGAATTACCACCCCGAAGGCTTCAAGCACGACACCTTCCATGAAGAAGAAGTGGAAGAAGAACGCAACGAGAAAGCCGATGAAGAAGACTGGTGGGCACAAGATATATTCCATGAAGAGGAACGGATGGAAGAAAAAGAATTACATTCTATCGTGCACTGACCAGGTTGAGGAAAATTGCAAAAGAATATAGGAGCTAGCACTTGCCCGTGGACTCTGTCCCGTCGTGGCCAGTGGACCAGACTTTATTTGTTGATGGAAGGCTGGTGTAAGTGATGGCAAAAGAAAAAAGGAAAAGGAAGAGCCAAGGCAGGTTGCGCGAAACGACAACGGCAGCTGCAGAAGCAGCCGCAGCCCCAAACCACAGCGACAGCAGGTCTGAAAAAACCACATCGGCAGTTTACGGGACTGTGCTGTTGAGTCCTATTTCTAAGCTCGTGCACTTGATGGTCTACCTCCCATCGATAGGTCAGATTTTCAATTGGGTCCAGTAGCAGGGCAAAAAAACAAGCGTCCAGATGCGAAGGCCGCCAAGGCGGAGGCCACCTTCCATGTCTGTCTGTTCCTGTTGCGCGGGAGTGTTCCCAGCAGGCTGCGCAAAAGTGGGGTCTTCAATGTCCACGTCTCACTCATACGTGGAATGTTTCCTTGAGGTTGAAGAGCATGTTGATTGAGCACGCAAATTGTTGGGACCTTTTTTCAATGGGAATTCCGATCCTTCAGGGACCCTCTAGGCTTCTCGAACAGCTGGCCTTTGTTGATTGCGCCGAAAAACGCAAGGTGCAAGACGGGTCGGTGCGCGCGTGTCCCCTTTCCGTTTAGATTTTTTCTTTGCTGCACACAAAAAAATTTGATCCTGCTTCCTCCCAGGCAATTCCAAGTCAGTCTGTTGTTTGTGGAAATAGGGCAGGCTTGGTGATGGAAGTGAGCGTGCAGAGTGCGTGAGTTTCAGGGAACCTGTTCCTTGATGAGTTGGAAACCCACCCTGGATGCCTGGTGCCATGCGGTGTTGGAAGTAAGTTTTTTATTCTTTTTGTATGTTGCGATACAGCAGCTGAATCAGTGATTGTTGTGCATAGCAGTGCAGGGAACCTTGTGCCCGCTCACCTTGTTGTCTGCAGTTGGAAACATGAACTGCATTTTTCTTGTGGTGGTGGAGGGAAGGCACAAATGATCGCCCACAATCGACGAGTCAGGGTCAGTGCCAAGGACCTGTAGAGCGGCGTGCGATTGGGACTTTGTGTGTTTGGTATAGAGTTTGGAGGAAAACTGCGTGACGTCTGTGTCTCATTGCAGCCCTTGAAGAGGACTCATTGTCAACTGCAAAGCACTGCTGAAAAAAACATTGCTTTGCTGCTGCATACGG